ACGGGCCACGTGTCACTCTCCTCCATCTTCGGAGACATACGGTGGTCAGACAGGTTGGTTTCTGGGGGGTTAGGGTCCATCCAGGAGAGGATCGGGGGGGGGGGGGGGGGGGGTATCTGACAAGGGCAAGCCAGTCATCGTGTTTAAGCTATGGAGGAGAATTCCTTCAGGAGGACGTCCTGGCTCAGGGCGCTGAGAGACACGTTCCTGCGCACATTCAGGCTGATGGATCGCACCTGTGGAGCAAGATGTGGGCATTAGGTACGCGGACAGCTGAAAAGGCGCACGCAAAGAAGCGGGCGGCACTGAGGCCCGTGCGGAATGCGTTCTATCAGACAGCGGCAACCGATGGTGACCCTCTCAGCGCAAATGGCTTGGAGGAGAACAGTAATCAATACGGCCTGAAAGGCAGAGCTGGTCCGGCTCTTTTGGCACAGAGTACCGTGATTAAAGGTCAACCTTTATCATCATCATCATCATCATCATCACAACCACGACTAAACTTGCATGGCAGTTGCTTCCGTTTAATCTTCGATCTATTGCGTGGTCCCCGATGGTGGACTGAGTGACTAAACCATGTCTGGTTGGCAGACTCCCTCTCCACCTTCAGGACCCATCTCTCTCTTCCATGAATTCCTAGTCGCCTCCTCGACGGCTGTATCTTGGTAATGTGCTATTTGCCTCACTTGTACACCATTTTGAACAAAAGCGTCTGCTACACGTCAAATGTAATGTAAATGGACGTTTTGTCTCGCACTTCTGATTGTCTGATCCCGCACTGCACTGCTGTTCACCCAATTCCGACCCTGCACCTGTGACATAAGAAATTCACAGTGTTCTTCCAAAAACATGCAACAACAAAACCTGGAACCTGAACCTAGAGCCAATCCACTGGTTTCCCTACCAGATCTTTGAAGAAGGCCACTTCCTTAGGCTGCTCCGAGTAACGCTCGAACTGGTCAAGGCCGTCCTGCAGTTTCAGTGTCAGAGTGTCGTAGTTGGAGCGTACAACTTCCAGGACCTGGAGGGAGGAGCCAATTGAATTAGGGAGCTGTCGCTGGGAACACATGGTCAACATGCTTAAAGTGATTTTAATTCTAAATGTGCTCTGGCTGAAAATGTACTGTATGTGTTGTGATATTTTTTTTCTTAATGAAAACAAATGTTGTACAAAACAGTTCTTGACAGCCAGGTACGAGAATAAACAGTCTATCCACAGCCCTCTTCACCATCCATAAGCTATTATCTTCCGCTATTAGGAGAACTTGGCTGCCTATACAGGTCTATATAGGTCCCTACAGGAGCGTCATAAGAGAACAGTCAGACAGGAATAAATGAAAAAAAATGGACCTGTTTATCGTAAGGGTGTGGATTGTGAGCTCAAAAACAGCAGCAAATCAAATAAACCATCAGAGAACACAAGTCAGGCAGAAGTTTTTGATAAATGAAACCAAGAAAATGGACAACAATCCTGACGCTTTGTCCTCCAGGGTGTTTGGACCATTTCAGACCATTAAGCCTCCGCTGTAGATGCAGGTAAGCAGGTGATTAAAGATAAGTTTGCATTTCTGCCCCATCTCTCTCCGTCTTCAAAGACATGCAATAAAAATGCTTGGAACAGCCGCACACACACTTGTCAGACATGCATTCTCTCAAAGTTTGCACCGGTAGTGACGGCCTTGTTGCTCAGTTACTGAGAAGCCCGTGGGAGCCCATTGAGGGGGGAACATAGAAGTGCAAACTCCAAGCTAGCAAGGACACAGAGAACTTCAAATCCTTCTCAATGACCACCTCCAATCACCACTGGAAGCCCCATCAACTAAACCCAACACTTTCTACCTTGGACTCCATCTACCTGCAGATGCTGGACTGATGTTCTCTGAAGGCAGAAGTCATGGCGTCACTCACAGTACCTCACACTCACTCGACCGATTAGACCACCAAAATTAATCACCCAAGGTCTCTCGACCAAGACAATAGAACAATAGTTTCAAATATAACATGTTCTTAACAAATCATAATCTAATTCTCCCTAATTTCATTTTAAGGCTGGCTGCTTCACTGCAACGGCTTCGCTCTGCATCTCAGATGCTCCACATTCTGCAAGAGCTTCTAAACTCATCAACGTGGATCCACAGCTTTGACAAATCAGGTCATCAGACCTTTCCGCACAACCTGCAAACACAGGCACCAACAGCACAACCCTGTCAGACAAAGCATCTATAGAATTCGGTATATGGACCATCATTTTCCTACTAATTGCTCAACCTAGTGGCTGGTAGGTATCATGCCAAACCTGAGTATGGCTTATTTCTGCTGAGTTGCAACATTTATCATCAGATGATCAGAATTTGACCTCATTTATGGATAGTCAAATGGATACATATTGACCTTAATGTAGTTATTCAGTAAACACTGCCGACCTCCAGTAAAACCTGCACTATACAGCGTAGAGCTCATACACACAGAAGCACCGTCATCCTACCAGCCCTGCTCACTCGTCTGAGCCTCCTTAGTGCGCTCAGGGTCACCGCCTACAGCAATGGAGACTGGAGTTGGAGTCTTGCCATGGGCTGCCCCTTGCCGATTGCACACTCAATACATGACCTAGTACAATAATAATTACAACACCACAGATGATCTACAGTGATCCAAAAGTGGAGAACTTCATTCCTTGAAGCAGCAGCTAATTAAACAGGTACTGCTCCTTCACTTTGAAATGCTACGCAACCCACACACATATTCAGATGAATAAGAGAGGAAACTCCTGCCTCGTTCCCATCAGATGAGCGATATTTGGTGTATGCCCCCCCCCCCCCGGGGATAAAATGAAAGAGCTGGAGGCACAGAGAACGATTAAATTCATTACACATCCCATAAAAGGGGGAGACAGCGGAACTCGACTGGCCCTCCAATCCCTCAGAAAAAGGACGTCTCCCGTTTACGGATGAGGGACTGCCTTTCCTGACATCATGCGTCAGACACGCCGTTAACTCTCCCTCCCCGTCAAGCGAGAAATACAGTCTTCGTCTGAAGATGAAGCTCTGCCTTTTGATTCGCCCCCGAGCTGTTGTACCTGACTCTTAAATTTTATGTCACAAAGACCTGCGCCGAAAATAGGGCAGATGACAGCGGTACAATCATTTCCGTCCTTTCCGATGAGGGGAGAGGGAACGCCGGTTAACGTCGCCCTCGCTCTGCAGTATCCTACACCATGTGAATGGCTGCGTTTGCTCCTTGCGAGACCCACGCTGTTCTTACCCATTCACTCGCCCTCACGATATTATTTTATGCTCGCCGTCTGAGAGCCCGTACAAAAATCCACAAACGGCCCCGTTAATTAAACCAATTTAACCGCCTCCCCCCATCTCCCAGCTAATTAAAGAGAGACAGAAAAGCTGCACACGCCACAGCCCGCAATAACGAGATACGGGCCACCTGTTTTCATTAGGTAAACCGAGTATTTATCACGCTTGAGTGTCTTGAGTGGCATATAGATTGGGGCAATTCTAGGCCTTTCATTAAGGTGGGGGACAAAAAGAAGAGCCATGATTCATATAGAGGGACCAGCCTTATCATTAGCCAATGGTATGTGGCCCCGTGGCCCCACCCCTGTATGTGCCCCCAGTGTAGATGGGTCTTCACCATAATATAGGGCAAAACTGGGGCCTGTGGCAGCTCATTGGATACAATGAGAGCAGAATAATAGAGAACGAAGGTTTCACAACATGGTTCTGAAGAGGCCCCGAGGGAAGCGTGCAACAAGAGCAAATTGAGCGATTTTTTAAATACATCCTTCACTTTTTTAAACATTATTTTCAAGGTGATAATGTCCGCTTTGGTGTTTGCTCTGTCTCTCTTGTTTGGCGATGTTGCACTCTTGAAATATTCATGGAAGTCTTTTGCAAAGACAAGAGGGAAGAACGCTTTTTGAAAAAAAAGAAGAGAAAGAGAGGAGAACAAAGCTCCTTTGCCTTCCGCTTCCAGGAGTGAAATCCCGTCACTTGCCATCCTCCAGACCAAACATGAATGTTCTTTGAGGGACTACACACTCCCGTCTTCCTCCGTTGTGCAACAGATCAAAAACTGGACTGATTTCCTGTTGACGTTCGGGTTTGGAGGATTTGCTGAGTCTCTCTCTGTGACATCCGTGTCAGACGGCATCAAATTCCACATAGAGGAGGCGGAGAACGGAGAATTTTGCAATTCAGTAAAGAGGGAGGTTGGCTGGCAGATAGGACAGGGGAAGAGAAGCAAGACAAAACAGGAAGCAAGACAAACAGGAAGCAAGATAAACAGGAAGCGAGGCAGCCCCTTTCAAAGAAATTCTAAGGAACCTCAAGAAAATGAAAAAGAAAAAAATAAAGGCATATCATCTGCAACTTATTTTCAATATGCCAGTGTTGAATTTTGCAGATTACTCATAATTATAGTTCAGCTTCTTTGCCCATTAAACATCGTTAAATTAGGCAAAACTCTACTAGGTTAGAACTAACTCACAGTGGTGTGGCGCTGATCTGATGGGGTCAGACGGAACCGACTAATCTGGAGAAGCTATCAATAGACAAATATCCAAAGTGATTGACCAGGTTCCATTCTGACCAAAGCGTAGCCGTTACTCAGCCATTATCGGAACAGAAAATCCACTCCTCGCTCCCCTTCCCCCCCGCTTCGATTCTCTAAGGTCAGACTGGCCGAGTGACCTGAAAGCCGTGTGCCATCCGGCAAGGCGCCCGCAGGAAGGAAGGAGGGTTCAGCCAGGAACACTTTCCAAAGGGCGCCGACACGACCAGCTCTGCCCGCGCACAGCGCCTCACACCGGGAGCAAAGTCTCCAAATCACGCCGGTTGAACATTTGAAATGACAGGATCCCCTCGTTAAGACAGCTCCAGAAACACACTGGGCTCACGCGAAGATGGACCTTTGTGTGGGTCACAGTCAGGCTGGGGGGGGGGTTCCAACAGCAGATTCCACGTATTTCACTAGCGCTCATTAAAAGTGGGTCGGTGAAGGACGTAATTAAGAGGAGCTCCGGAAAGTCACATAATTACAAGGAGGAAGGAAAAATTACTTTATTTTTTAAAAAGGGAAGACTTATACCATCGACCTTTAAGCTGTCTTTTATATGAGTATTTCTAAATTTTTGTTTTAATAATGCTGGAAAGACACCACACAAAGGCCACTATATGCAAAATCAACCTATATTATTCCCCAATAATCATAAAAGTACTATGTTGCTAATATCTTTTTGGAATATGAATCGCACTCAATGTTCATTTAGCAGACTGACCTCTATGTGAAGTTTTAATTCTGTATTTAGGGCGTATTTACATAACATAACAGACATCCTCTTTGGTGTCATCCCTAAAGAATCCAGCGGTCTCAGTGCATAACAGGAGGTGTTGCTTGGTAGGAATACAGAAGTTATCCAGACCCAGAGTTATCCAAACACTCACCTGGTCCTCAGACAGCTGGGAGATGTGGTTCACGGCAGCGTACGACTCGATCTTTGGGTTGAAATGGTTAATGATGGCCCTGGAACGAAAGGAATCATAATGCAAGCTTACTTTTCACCAGCCCAGAAACCCCCCCTTCCTTAGTAGTCATCTGGTTTTCCCCAGATTGCTTTAGGTTTTACAGCTTACCTACCCCCCCCCCCCCCCCAAAAAAAAAAATAAAAAATAAAAAAAAAATCACTTGAATCAGAATTCTTTATTGTCACTGAACAATTGTACAGAAAATGAAACACTGTTTGGCTCACTACTGATGTTAGCATCAGCGAACACATTTGAAATCAGTTCCCATCAGTAACAGATTCCCATTCAAACACAGTCAGTCCAAATCATTCAAAGCAGAGTGCTGACGCATCCCAGAGTAATTAACACACGGAACAGAATTGACCAAAACCATGCAAAGTGCAATTTCACTCCCAGCGAATCAGTAGGGCTATTTTAATATGACTAATAATAACTCATTTCCTGTCTGTCACCAAGCTGCCGAACGGACTTTCAATTACATTTCTCATCTGCAGTGTTCTTTTATTTTTAAGCCTGCTGTTAGGGCTCCGCCCACATATCCCAGGGTGCCTTGCTTCTGTCTGCCCATGGCAAAACTGCCATGAATGCACTCTGTCTGTGATTGTGGTCTTGGTAACAGTGATCATCAAACTACAAGGGACACTGTAAACAATCTGAATCAAGGGATGAAGCAAACAAATGCAAATAAACTATAAATTAGATAAATAAAATAAGGTTACTTTAATTCAGCTTTATGAAAGACCACATAAAACAGCACTGTTAAAAACAAGTTTGGTGTATCCTTAAAACAGATTAAACAAGGGCATCAACTAATCAACACCTAAGGCACGTCTGGCGCCTGGATTACAGATGGAGAGCTGAACATGAAATAATGTCTATTTTTTCTTCTTGACTGCGAGTTCCGCAGGTACTGAGGGCAATACATCAAATCTCGCTACTGTGGCCAAACAGATCTGGTAAATTCACGGTGTGCTAAATCGCTACAGGTCCTGCAAAAATGTCACCAGGGCCAGCAAGGTACTGCCTGGGCCTACAGAAGGCGAGAAATCACATCACATGCTGCATATTCTGCAAGCTGAAGCACACGGAGCGAAACAGCGAGGGAGCATGCACTCTGCTAATGGCCGTGTTTCGCCTTCATACGAATCCCTCACTCCGGAAGGAGTTGCCTTCCTTAGACCACTTGCAGAGACAACTTTTTCAAAACAGAAAATGTATATTTTCATTCAGTTTCTCAGAAATTGAACTAAACTTTTTCTGCCATTTATGCAAAGACAGGAATGTCCGCTTTTTGCGTATCCCATCATGCTTTCCTGCTTATGACAGACACACATATAGAGGTGAGAGCAAAGCTTAGGGTCCAATCACAGGGACGGCCATTCTGCACTTTTCTGGCCCAACGCACATGTGGCTGTTATGCCGAGCATGGGATTCAAACCGGCGACTATCCGGTCACAGGCACAGAGGCCTAACCCTCAGTCATACAGCCACCAAAAGTATTTGGAAGGATTACTATGGTAACAGTAAACTAAAGTTGCAGTTGGCTGGCAAGCGTGCACCAGCGCTTGAGTGGGATCAAAGCCCGATAGAAGTGGGGCCTTCTCTACCCTGGGCTGCTGTCTGAACACGCTTACCAAACAGAAAACCGCGCTTGAGGTGGGCGTCCTGCTCCCTACGCGGGCACGGTCGGGCAACCCGGGACACCTTTATAAGTGACGGTTTGAGACACCAGATGACAACAGAGGAGAGGGAGCGCAGTGGTGCAGTTAGCTGGGTATTCAGGGCAGCTGAAACTTCCCAGTGATTATTATGGAGTGTTTTCTCGAGCGGCACGGCACCGTGACTTAGGGAGTAGCAGTCGCCTCACGCAGTCACACGTCTCCTGCATCAGACTCTGGCACTCTCTCCCACAGCCCAAAAACTAGCAGCACAGGAGAACTGGCAGCTCTAAATTAGCCACGGCGTGTGAGGCCACGTGTGTGTGTGGCTCCCTGTGACAGATAAGCACCCCCATCTGCGTATCACACCCCTGTCTCACGGCTCGTGCTTAACGTCATACGGAGACAGGATCACGTAACGCAGTCCCGCTCTCCCACACATAGGGGGAGCTCCGCAACGGCAAATCGAATGAATAATCATTTTTACGATCATTTAGTTTTATTACTTCAAGCCATTATATGTGCCGGGCCTCTGAGACAAAAAGGCGTAATTACCGGAGTAATAAACAGAGTAACGTGGTCCATTTTGTGTATAGATTACCCTTGCAGACCAACCCCGACATTTAGTATGCAGTGAGTCCGTTTTAGTGGGTTTCTGTCAGTGTAGCAGCTGATTGGCTGGCGGATGCCAGAACATATGCAAATTATGAGTAACAATAAAAAAAAATTTAACTAAAAATTTCTTCTGTTCTCCAAAAAGTTACAGGTATCTAGTTGGATGGCTAGATGAACAGCGCTTCAGTTCCCAAACCTCTCCTTAGGGGCACCTTAGACATTCTATGTATGAATTAAATGTAATTTCTGGCTTAATTAAACTAAATTAGTATTTAAGACGGAGAGATATTGATTAGCCACATGAGGTGCTAGTGGTCAAGTCAAAAAACACATGGGTGTATTGGAGGATTGCTGCAAATTCTGGGGTGATTTTAGCAGAAGTTTTGAAATGGCTAAGCTGACACACTGGGACAGGCATACTATCATAGTTTTATACCAATATGAAGATCGGTTAAACTTAATTACCTTTGGCTGCCTAAGAGTTCTGCACAGTACTGTAAGTACTCCATTGCACAAACCCTTACGTGAAATTTGATTTACATAAGTTGGATTTAGCCCCCCCATTACCGTTTAGGACACTTAATAGCGCAAAAAAAACCCCAAAAAAACCCCCATCAACTAAAATATGCTAGTAATATGTATTAAAGCACATATAAATGAAAGGATTAAGTTCAAATACACGTATAGGCATATGTCGAGGTTTTGCCTTAGTGCTTCTGTAAACTCTACGTATCTCCGTTAATTTTTGCGTATTTACTTAAGACAGTTTTACACAAATCGAGCTTCTAAACAGAATGTCCACGGAAGTTTTCCTGAGTTACTATGCTACTATTTTAGTGTAGATTGTCCCTGAAGATGTACGTTCTTTATGGGACACAATTACACACGCACTGCACACTATCACCCCCCCCCCCAAAGGAAACCTGCAAACTGTCACCCCCCAAAGGAGACCTGCACACTATCACCCCAAACAGCCAATCGTCATTTATCTCTTTTGCCCCAACGCCATTTCTGACTACACACGTGTTTTTTTATTGCAAATTTCATCCCCTAATTAATAACCAGACAGTTTATTTTAATGAGACAATAAATCAGCGATTTATCAGTCGCTGGCACTTTAGCTACTGTGAAATGTGCGATTGACTACAGAGGAATCTGCAAATAGCATTAACTAAAAAATAAAAAAACATTAAAACACCGGTGTGAGACTCCCCCCGGCTGCATCTGTATACCCGTATTTAATTTTATACGCTAAACACTCATATGGTGATATTTTTGTTTTGTAATGATCCAAAGATTTTTACACCTTCATGAAAGTGCGTCACCAGCCTTGCTCAAGGGGGGGTAAGATGGGTGAAAAAATAAGCTAGAGCCAAGTTTAGCCACGTCACAACAGACAAGCTGCAGTCTGAAAAGCCTGACAAGGGAGGAAGCTGGGGGGCGGGGGGGGGGGGGCACAGTGCCCAGCGGGGACACGCGATTCTGACAGTTCAGCTGCTTACCTGCCACCATTTCTAAGATGAAGCCCACAGGAGGTATTAAACAAGAAATCTTCATCACCAACTTCTTGATTAATCAAGGATTAACATAATACTGATAATAACAACAGCCATAATAATAATCTATAATAAACCTATTAAGACTGAAGAGTCAGTACAGTGTTCAGTAGTGTTCAGTCACCAGCAGTCCACAGCTGAACACTGCCCTGCACGGGCCACGTGTCACTCTCCTCCATCTTCGGAGACATACGGTGGTCAGACAGGTTGGTTTCTGGGGGGTTAGGGTCCATCCAGGAGAGGATCGGTGAGGGTGGGGGGGGGGGTATCTGACAAGGGCAAGCCAGTCATCGTGTTTAAGCTATGGAGGAGAATTCCTTCAGGAGGACGTCCTGGCTCAGGGCGCTGAGNCGTTAGTGATATCCGGCTCGACTAAAAATGCTGGTGCGGGTCGAGCCAGTCTAACACACAGACTGTGTTCCTTGTCCACAGATTTGGGAGAAGTTGTGAATTTTTCAGGAATCTCATTGGGGCACGAAGGCAGAGACCAAATTAAAGACCCCTCACTTTTCTGAAAAACCATGCCCCCCCCCCACACACCCCTCACCCCATGTCCACTCAGAGTGTTTTATTTTTGTGCTAATCTCTCAAACTCGTTCATCCTAAGTGGTTTTTCGCTCCTTTTTATAATGACCTGCCACCAAACCGACACCGGTGATAAACGGTCGTGACAAGACCATGACCGGCATTCAATCTGAGGTCCGGGGGAGAAGGTTCACTGTGCAGAAAGAGTGTGGGAGAAAAGGTCACCTTTAAAAAACACACGCACACACACACATACACAGAAACAACTCGATCCTCAATATCTGCCCAAAAAGTTATCACCTTACTCCCTTATCACCAAACGTTTACCACTGTTCTTTCAAAGTAAGTTGCTTACAAGTGCATGTCTAACCCTACCAATGTACAGTCAAACCCAGTGCACAGCCCTACCAATGTACAGTCAAACCCAGTGCACAGCCCTACCAATGTACAGTCAAACCCAGTGCACAGCCCGATTTACAATCCACTATGTGCAGCACATTAATTTATTTATTCATTATTGCGTTGTGTGTCTAACTTGCGTGTATTGCTGTTATTGACGTCCCAGACAAATACTATTTCACATGCTTGCATGTCTTAAAATGACAATGAAGTTTTTAATGACGACTTCACTTGACATATGTACCATCGAACGCCACAGAGTCAAGTCTGACCATGAGGCAGACAGACAACTGGTTTAGAGAGTCGCTTCACCTGACGTTGACGAGCGCCTGCGTGACCTTGCTGGCTGGCTCCTTCCACTGCCCGGTGTTGGTCGAAACCCTGAGCACTGAAAGCCATGGAGAACATGAGGTTAAAGCTCCACCCCCATCCTGACCTGCCCAATAAAAAGAGGCTTTTTTTATTGCAAAGTTTTGTACTTTAGGAGACTGAGAATATTTTCCATCTACTGAGAAAAAGAGCTCCATAGTACCCTGTTGCCCTGAAAGATCCTCCATTCATCCAATTAGCACTCATGACTGTAAAACAGCCTCTGGCTGAGTGGGGATATGAATCCAAGTGCCTCTTCATTCACACAGCTCGAATAGCACCCCCTTGTGGTAGCTGCTTTCATTACACAGGCAGCGCTGTCAAGGTTGGCTTTTAAATCGCTTGGGGGAACCGCGAAGAACCCTTTGGGGGAAAGAAAATTCCGGCTGCAATCACTTGGCCCCCTGCGTCGCAAACCAAAATGCATTATCGGGCATCGGCTTATCCCGGCCTCTTAGCTCTTTGCCAACTGAAAGCGTGGCAAAGAGCCCCCCCCCCCCCCCCCACACTACTTCTCTATCCTGGCACGTTTCTGACCAACTGCCATGGTACCAGGATGTTTTATTGTTTTTTTTTTCTTTTTTTTTTTTTTAAATGCGACAGCAGTACTGGCAGGCGTGCGACGGAACCACATTCCGGGTGCTTCCGACCCCGGGCGCAGCCCTGCCAAAATCCCTCAGCCGTCACTCATGCACGCGACAGACCCCAGCCTCATCCGGCGACCCACGAACACGGGCAGCCGTGTCAAAGAAAGCAACAGAACCACAAATTCCAGCACAGATGGGTACAGCCCATTAAAGGGGGGAAAAAACAATCTGGATGTGAACCCAATAGATGAATAATTCAGCTAATTAGGTTTTTGTTGATGATGTCATCCACCTACCCATGCAATAGAGGTTATCGAACACCTGGTGCATGCGGACGATCTCGTAGTAGAGCGCGTCGTAGCTGCTGGGTGTGGGCAGGAAGCTGTCGCCGTATGTGATGAACATGTTGAAGAGGTTCACCACCTGTGGGGCGCGACAGACACGGAGACGGTGATGCTGAGGGGGGGTGAGGGGCACCCTGAGCTTTCCAGCCGCATACCGACACCCCCCATGTCCGGCGTATCGGGAAAACGCCGTGGGAAAACTCCTGGCTTTCCCCGGACATGTAATTTAAGGCTCTATCAACGAAGGTCACCCTCCAATAGCTCTCTTATATCGCATTTTATCACGGGAAAGACAATAACGAAAAACAAGTGGTCTCCTGAAAATGAAATGTATTTTTCACCAGAGCTCTGGGTTCAGAAAGAGCCGCTGATGTGATCCACGTTATTTACAGAACACCCGGCGCTCTAATGAAGCGCTGAGGAGGAACGGCGGCTTATTACCGCGCAGGTATCGGGCCAATGGTGCAAATTCACCCCACCCTGCTCAGACAGCGGGGCTCAAAAACATTCATCGCAGTTAAGACATTAATCACAGCAAGAGAGGATTCCCGTCGCTTTTGTCAGATTAATGGACAGACCGCGTGCAAAGACATCTAACTGCACACCTAGGTTAATATGCAGCTCTGTACATGGGTGAGTTATACTTTCTAAATAGTTTACACTTAATTTATTTAGAAGACACATTTACTGAAAGCGAAGTACATTTCTGAGAAAACAGGGTCCCTAGAGCAATTAGGGGTTAGGGTCCATGAGAGAAATCCCTTGAAAACCAGCGAACTCATGTCTCAATGTTCTAATTCTGTTGAATCTTTCTGATATTGGTTTTATTTTATATTAATTCATTTATTTTCATTTTGTTTTACGAGTGCTTTCTGGCGCTTGCCAGGCTGTCATTGTCAATAAGAAACTGTTCTTAATGCTTTGCCTGGTAAAATAAAGGTTAATGAATGAATGAAATTAGTCATTTTAACTCACTGAACCACACAGCGCCCCCTACATGTCACACCAGAAGTTCAAAAAAGCTCAGTATACTACTGTATTTGCGCGGCGGCCTCACGGATCTGCAGAGAACGTCCCGTTTCTCACCAGAAGTGCCAGCTGAAAGATGTTGTGTTTTGACAGCAATGTGGTCTCGTTGGACAGGAGGAACTTCAGGAGGTTAATGAGTGCTGTGGGGGAGGAAAAAAAAAAACAGATGTACGAAAAAATGGAGAAATTCAAGCTGACAAACTCGCGCACAAGCTGAAGCGGCTGCTGTTAGCCACGGCCTGTGGGACTCGGCACGCGGCCTGACCATCATAACAGCTAACTTAATCATTTAAAGACTAACTGGACCGCTAGTACAAAAGACACTGTGGTTTGACAGCCCTCAAATCTTCATAAATCATTTTGCCGAAAGTGACAGAAGTAATAAGTTACCCTGAGCTTTGTTCCTTAAATCGTCAGTAAAGTATTATGTAACGGGTTGGAAATTTGTTCCAAGCTCTGGAAAATAAAATGTTTGAAGGATTTGTAGTACTCAGACTGCAGACCAATATAATCTTAGGGAAGGACATGATATTCTTGCGTTTATTTGTTTTTATGATTTTCACTCCATTTTTGCAGTTCTTCTTGACCCCACAGCTCCTGTGACACTCACTCTGCCCCCCCCCCCCCCCCAAAAAAAAAAATAAAAAATAAAAAAAAAATCACTTGAATCAGAATTCTTTATTGTCACTGAACAATTGTACAGAAAATGNTTCTTGCGTTTATTTGTTTTTATGATTTTCACTCCATTTTTGCAGTTCTTCTTGACCCCACAGCTCCTGTGACACTCACTCTGCCCCCCCCCCCCACCTGCTGTACCCCACCACCCCATCCACCTGCCAAAAAGAATTTCTTGTTTAACCGGATAACTTGGGCTAAATGGACATTTAGCTCAAACTACCATAAACCTGACAAGTTATCCAGCTAAGCAAGAAATCCTGCTTCCTGAAACACCCCCCAGATCTGGGAAAGCTTCCATTAAGAGGTGAAGCAAAACTAACGTATGCCATTATGATGACAGCAAAACCAGCCAATCAGGTGCTATAACACCAAATAGCATAACCAATCAGCTTCATGAAACCAAACAGCAGAACCAATCAGTTTATATGTGTGTTGTAATGGACATTAAGATCAATCTTTTCTCAGAAACACTAGGACAAAATCCCTTTTGCCCCAAAGCCAAGGAGAATTGGTAAAATGGTGCCAGCTACTAAAAACAGAAATGCGCATAAATTATTGCAGAGAAACAAAGCACATTGTAATACTGGAAACTCACATAAATGACAAATCAATACTGTGTCAGACAGCGACCTCGCTGCGTTGGTGTTAGCCATTAGCGCGCATGTTTCCGTGTCATTTTTCATTCGCTTAATGTGTTCAGGCTAACGAGAGGCGGGAATGACGAATGACAAACGAAAAACGTCTCCGGGTGAGAAGTAGTACAGCTACTCTCTAGAGGTAGCAACGTTTGGTGCGTTTGTGCCACGGGGCCAAGCTGAGAGGCACAGCAGGACCAGGTTGTGACAGAAATACCCCCGCCGCCCCCCCCCCCGCTGGAGCCACTGAACCCTCTGAATGCTAATGGGCGCTAATGCTAATCAAAGGAGAAGAGTCAGCACAACAGCAAAGGAATGGAGATCGTGCCGAGCTCCCCTGAGGTAGACCCTTGGCATGGCAAAAAAAAACCACTGAGCGCTGTCGCCGGTTGTTTCTCTAAAAATAAAAACAAAACGGTGTTCTGTGACATTAACGCTGTGTGCGGCGTGCGCTTGTAAGTTTATAATCCTCCTTTAACATTTCATGAGCCTTCTCATGTTTTTTTCTGCGCGTCATTGTATATGACCGACTGGATTAAGTAAAACCCACCTCAGACCTGGGGTCTGTACTACGAAGCGGGGTTACTGGTTTATTGGGGTAACTTGTGGGATTTAAAGTAGTCTGGGCAAAATGTAAGTGAACGAATATATGAAGTCCATTTAAACTGTGGTACCTTAAATCCGACAAGTTACCCCGATAAGCCAGTAACCCGCTTCGTAGTACAGGCCACTGATATGAAAACAATCATGACATGTTCCGTAAATATGTGCCTTAGTGGTCACCAATCCAAGCCAAACCCCTGCACACGAAGTCAGGTTTCCAACCTGACCACACATAAGGAGCTCACTTATGGAGATCAACGTTCCATTCCATCCATTCCAACTTGGGCAAATCAGTGTTTCTATTTCATTTCTACAACATAGAGGTCACCCTTACAAGCTGGAGTGGGACTCAATCACGCCATTACAATTAACTGATTAAGACATACATCAATTTATTTAGCAAATGCTTTTTTTTATCCAATACCACGGACTTTGCTCAGAGACCCAATGAAATCCTTCCGCTGACCCAAGGATCTGAACCGGCGACCTTCTGATCATGGGCACGGCATCCTAACGGGCTGAGCCGCATCACCGCCATCAATGACAGCCGCAAACTCCTGCAGAGGGCTCACCTGACCACAGCTCCCGCCAGGTGTAGCTCAGCCTGACACGGCATTTCTTCTGATAGCAGATGAGCTTGTGGACCACCTGTATACAGCGCCTGGGGACACGCAGAGGGGCACACCATCAGGTGACAGAGCTCACAGAAGAAGCTCACTGCATCCACATGGCCCATCAGGTACCAAAGACTAGGGGCTGAAGAACTGATCAATTCCAGAAGAAACATTCATCTGAGGCATCCTTGTTCCTCGTAGATGAATGTTGAAATTTAGACTTCAGGTTCGCTCTCTAATTTGTTTTCAGATTTGGCCGTCCAATATGAACCCTTTCTTACAAACAGTTCACTACACCGTTTACACAATAAAATCTAATGCAGCATAATTTTCCCCTGAACATGTCAATAACAGTGTTAATCCTTACTGACAGACACAGGGATGTTTCTCAGTACCAAGAATGCAAAGACTGTGCTTGTGGTTTTTACAAGAACGGTCTAGCTAACTCGCCTTCTAAGAACAAACTTAGGGAACAATGAATAATGGGACTGGTTTTGTTTGGCGAGGATGCAACCAATGTATCCTTGATATTTGGGGCAAGAACAACATCTGAAGATTTTTACTTCTGTTCTTAACATTGGAACTGGTCTTCGGCAATGACGTAAAATGTGTATATGAGAACACAAGTACGGTCAGGTGCGCCTAACCCTAACCCTAACCCTAACCCTAACTCCCATTGAGATCCTCAAGCACAATTTCAGTACTCCACCAGCTTCTTAGCTGAAAAGCCATTGGTAAAGGGTCACAGTGCTTCAAGGTGATTGGCCCAAGGGTAACAGTGCTGCAAGGTGATTGGCCCAAGGGTCACAGTGCTTCACGGTGATTGGTCGACTAGGATGCCCATTGGATTGTTGGGGCTCTTACATGTACAGGTCCATGGGGAAGTCCTTCATCATGTGGCTTACGATGAACTCCACCATTAGGTCTGTGAGTACAGGGAGACAGAGACATAAGGAGCGAGAGCCAATCTCATAGCGTGTCATGTTGAAAGACTGAGGCACCAACACACAGAAGGGAAGTCAGGAGCTGTTTCTCGTGGTGGCAGGTCCCCGCTCTTGTTTTCCCTCCCACATATGCACGGTTTTAGGCTGCCAGATGGCACGCCCATCACTGCTCTCCCTGTGCTGTGCCAGCCACGCTCTCTCATGTTTGCCTAAGAGGGTGATTTCAGAGCCTCGATTCAGGCCTGCTTATATTAACAGGAGCGTCTCATCCAATCAGAGACCATGTCACAGGAGAAACCGTGAGCTTTAAGGCAGCTTTGCCTGCTCCATGATATCAATCCTGTGTGGGCAAGGCACCAGGCTTCCAGAGTCAAGCCACACCCTGCAGAGGGACTTGAAGGGTGTTCCTCAATACAACCATGTCATTCAGGAGCATCTCTCTCCATGACGATAGACACGCTTACCTAGAACCGCACACACCAGGGGCCTGGAGGGGCTGTTCCGGTCTACAGGCTTCTTTCTGTGCCTCATGGGCTGAAGGAGAAACGAGTGCCAGATGAGCGTCGGAACGCTAACCAACTGATGTTCGCATGCAAACCTACAGCAAAGCTCATAAGTGTGTAACACCTCATAAACACAAGTGCCTGATCCAACAGGATTTCAAACACAGAAATGACACCAGTGTTAACATACAGCATTACATGACGGATAATCCGAAACAAGTCTCGCTGGCTCCAAGAAGCCTTTCAGTCTGGCTATGCTACCTGGCAGCCCCCCGTCAAAAAAAAAAAAAAAAAAAGTGGTACTATATGACATCATTTATCTCCAGGAGGAGATAAACTCGCGCTTAGGGAGTCTTCAATGGCCCTGAACAGAGAGACGGATTCGCTGAAAGCTACAAACTCACAGCCCATTTCCCATCAGGGAGGTACAAAAACAAACAAACAAACAAACAAACAAACACTGCACTGCTGGCAGGCCACTTCTTTATTGGAAAAAAAGGATTGGGGGGGGGGAATGAAAGTGTTTTGACATTTCTCATCATTCTCATTTCTAGACTATGAATCCCCAACTGGCGGATTCCGGTCCACATCCAGACCAAAACAATTTAATCCAGACCACATGATCAATCCCCCCCCCCCTCCCCACTCTGCCACCCCCCGATCAGCAAATTTTATAGCGGCAGTGGACCCTGGCTTTGTATTGTTGATGGAATTTGGTCCTCAGGGAAAAATATCTGGGAACCCCTGGTCTGCAGAGCTCTAGGAAGAATGCAGGGGGATGGAGAATGCCCTAGATGGCACCCCCCCTCTCCCCCCAAAAAGGAGACCTTTGGCTTTGGTGTATCATCTTACCATTCGGTGCAGGTTCACCTTGAAGTTCATGTTGTCATCGTGCAGAAAGGCGTTGGCATACTGGTCCTGCAGAACAAGGTGGGGGCAGAACAAGTTTCAGCTGATTTTGTGTTGGCTTGAAGACCTTTGTACTCCTGGCATTTTCAGAGCCAGAGAAATTTCGAGGCCAGAGAAAGATCCCCCAAAGCCTGGAGGGACAGCCCCTCCCCCACAACCGACTAAGCACAGAGGTTGACGGGGAGGTGAAATCGTTAGCGATCGACTGGGAGCTGCAGAGAGGGAGGGGCTGGGCTCCCTGTCGTTTCACATTCTGGAGCGTAACTCAGACAGGCCCCCGGGGCACTGGCCTCTCATGGCCTTCTCTCCAGCACCGTGTCTCAGCCAAATTTACATGGAGCAGAAGCAGAGGAACATGCCCTCCACAGCCATTTCTCGAAATATACCAGCACCATCCAAGGTTGGAGAAGTCAACTACCAACAGGACGCCTGTCGTGATCCAGCCCTGAGTCGGTGCGTTGGCGGTTGGGTACCTACCTCTGCGATACAGGTGAGGACGATGAGGCACAGCCTGGCACTATTGAGTCGGTGTTCGTCTGCGGTGGAGAATATGGAGAGAGCGGGTAAGAGCAGGGCTCAAGGATCTATAGACGGTAGCGGTTTGAAGGTACGTCGGACCTGATAGGACCTATTGACAGTACCGGTTTGAAGGCATGTCGGACCTGACAGGATCTATAGACGGTAGCGGTTTGAAGGCACGTCGGACCTGACAGGACCTATTGACAGTACCGGTTTGAAGGCACGTCGGACCTGACAGGACCTATAGACGGTAGCGGTTTGAAGGCACGACGGACCTGACAGGACCTATAGACAGTACCAGTTTGAAGGCACGTCGGACCTGACAGGACCTATAGACAGTACCGGTTTGAAGTCATGTCGGACCTGACAGGACCTATTGACAGTACCGGTTTGAAGGCACGTCGGACCTGACAGGACCTACAGACAGTACCGATTTGAAGGCATGTCTGACCTGACAGGACCTATAGACAGTAGTAGTTTGAAGGCACGTCAGACCAGAGAGGACCTAAAGACAGTAGTGGTTTGAAGGCACGTCGGACCCGAGACGACCTGGAAGGATCTATAGACCATAGTGGTTTGAAGGCACAAAAGACCCAAACTATTTCCCATATACACCGATTCAAGGTGTCAAGGGTGACCAGAACCAAGACTCAGACAGAAGAAAACAGACAGATAAGATTAATAAGGTGCCTTAAAGGCGGCTTCCACTGAGAGTCTGATAAGAAATAATTAACTCAAGCAACAAAACAAAGCTCAAGCCGTAGGCAGCCATAATGGGGTGGCTCAAAGCGGATTCTGCACCCACGTTTGTCAGGAGCAGATGGTGGAGATGTTATTTTGAGGAGCTGGAATGAAAATCTACTGTCAAAAGTCCACTGCTTTTGTGAACACGGGGTATTTTTCATGGTAGCACAACAGTAACAAAAAACCCATGACATTCGAGATATTACAATGAACAGATTCTTGGATGCTTGCCAAACACTGCCCCTTGACTTTGAAGCAACCTAGACAATATCAATGCTGGTCTGGGGTCTGCGTTCCTTCACCAAAGGTCCCCTGTGTTAGTGATAAACAGCTACTTTTGACCGGCAGTTCTGCTGGATCACGCTTACCTTTCGTGTCCTGCATGACGATGGAGGAGTATTTCAGGAAGGTGATGAGCAGGTTGCTTGTTTGAAGGTTAGGGTCAAGGGGCAGCTCAGCTGAGTTCATCACTGAAAGGAGAAGAAGAGACCAAGTTAATAGGCACCATCAATCACGGCATTTTTGCATATAAAGCCATTTGATGGTCATGCAGAATATGTTCAGAACAAAATCCCAAAAACAGCTGTTTCCATCATTTTTCTGTGTAAAGACAACATCTGGATCTTCTAAGGAATCTTCATCAGGTCTGATGGGCAAGGTGAGAAGATTACTCAGTCCACTTCTCAGATGTGGTAAGAATGTTCAAAAGAGCATTAGGGCCTTTTTCTACACCCTGCCCTCAACAGCTAAGAATTTCTTATTTAATGCGTTAATTTTTAACACCTGGGAAATGTAAACACATTGTATATCTGTCTGTTTTATTTGTTTATAAATTATATCAAACAGCAATTTTAAGCATTCAGTAGCTGATAAGAACGTCAAGTTACAATTGGAAAGTTGGAAGTTTAAGGCCTAGAATAGGCTTTGCTGTAACACCCTATGGTACGACTTTCAACCAGAAATACCCGGATAATTATTCAGCAATACCAGCGGGTAAAAGGATCACTTTGAATTAAAGCATCGGCTAAAGAATAAAAAATAAAAATAAAAAATCAACAATACTTAGTGTTCAGCAATTCTAAAATCCCAGCTGATGGAAAATACCAAACTTAACCCAGGATTAGCCGAATCCCAAATGGAGCCACGGTGTTAGAAAATGCATTACATCACCGCCACCACCACCACCACCCACCCAATTTAATTACAGCGTTTCTAGCTGCCATGAGTAGCCCCCACCCAGAGAGATTACCAGCCATCACACGCCCACCCTTTTTCTTTTGCAACATCAATCAAGGTTTGCCTTTCCTTCAAACTTTCATCTCTCGTTTGAATCAACACCAATCATGTACCAATAAGGAAAAAGTATTTTCAGAATGCTTAAGGGAAAACAGAGGTGGAACTGCTTTTTGGAATGGTTGTGTACACAGGCATCGACAAAAAAAGCTTTGTAAATGAGGTAAAAATTAATGTCAATGACCGAACATTCCCACAAATCTGCATACAAAAAGTTGACTGTGAAAAAGAAAAGCAGGTCCCCCAACAGGCTGTTACAGGTAATGCACCCTGAGGTCATAGGTCAGAACATTAATAATCAATTTTTTTTCATCTCAGATCTGAGCCCATAAACACCCGATACTCACAGTCCAGGGAAGGGGGGGTCGTGCCTAGGGGTGTAGTGGGTGTGACTGGGACAGGCGTGGTGGGCGTGGTCGCAATATTGACCTCTGGATGACTCTGTAAGTTCCATACAGAGCAAAAGCTATTTCAGCTTCAGAGTAAAGCGAATATCCTCTGCAAATGTGGACGGAAGAACGGAAACGGCCCCCGCAGACTCGCCTGCACGAGAACGGCTATGAAGTTTCGGTTTAGGTGAACAGCCTCGTACAAGGCCAAGAGAATGGCTTCGTTAGTCCTGTGGGAAAAAAACAGCAGGAGTGAGGAGGAGACGACGGAACCACCTTGACTGACCTTCCAACTCAGAAAAAGCAGCAACTTAGTTAACACTCAAATGTTAGAGAAAAAAGCAGTTTACGCAAGTACAAAAGTGGTTACGTACGTATATCGTATGATGTAAAAATATATGCTTAATATACTCCCGCAAGGCATCATTAATATATTTTGAAGTATAAGTGAAAGACTAGCAAGCTACAGTGGGCCAACTAAGAAAAAGAAAAGTACCAGCACTCATCTATACTAAATAAGAGTATTAATTTTAATAACTGAAGCCTGAACTCAGCAAGGCATAAATTAATTGATGAACCTTATCACAGCAAAACGCTTAATATGCGATACGCAAGAATGCATTTAAGGAAGGAGCACCGGTGAGCAATTTTTACACGTCGAAGAAAAGACGACCTCGGAAACGTTCTTCCGGGCAGCCGGGGTGCAGGGCGGCAGAAGGGAGAGTAGGAACCGGGGATTATGGGATGGTGGGCGGAGCACCAACCGCGCTTTGATCCGGGGTTTGTTTGTTAATATCAAATCAAATCAAGTATGACGGCCTTTGGAATCTCCGACAAAGCCAAGGGGAAGAGCTCAGGCGCGGCCCTGGATAATAGGGCAGGAAGGGATCATTTGCATATTCAAATAACCCTGCACCGCATGGGGTGTGGGGGTGTGAAAAACTTTTTGTGACGAGTGTCCTGGTGAAGTATGATAACGGATCCTCTGACAATTCCTCAGACAAGCCTTCAGCCCATGACTGAGCTGCAGGAGAAATCACTGCGGAAAATTAAATGCCACACTCTTTATTGGATTACGTACGCCTTTCCTACCACAAGCTTTTTTGTTTTTTTTTTTCGTCAAAAATGGCCCTGAGAGTGAATAACTGCCATTATCCTGCTCACCCCTGACGGCCCCCCTCTTAAATTATCTGCTGGCAGCGTCATTAGAAATCAGGCCCAGATGGGGAGTCAACTGAACTGATTTCAGGGACAATGCGAGCAGAAAAACAAAGTCGGTAGAGGTCTCCCTGGTAAGAAAACACAGATGTTCTGGAGGTGTGTAGGGTTACAGATGGGATGGAGAGCTGGGAGGGGCACTTTGGGACTTACTGCACTGATATCTTCTCTTCTGCATCAGCAATGAACATATTGCCCACCTGTGGACAACAAAGGTATTGCAGTTAGAAAACAACAAACATCACCCAAAATTTATTTTTGGACACTTATCTGGCTCCAAAATGACACTTGGACAGAATAAGCGGGACAATTCATATATGATTCATGAAGATAAATGAGCTACACAGATAATCATCAACACGACCATCCAAATAATCACCAAAATCAGACCCAGCTCAACAGAAAACCAAATTAATAACCATTAATTGAGGCAAGATAACTCCTATGAGAGAAGCACATAGAATCCAAAGCCAACATTAAGCAATTTAATGAAACCTTGTACTGACACTGGTTTGATGTACAAGTCCATAAATCTTGCTCTTATATTAACTGATAACTAAGAGACAATGTGCTTGAAGCCACAGAATGGAAGTCAATTAGCCCCCGGATATTGACAGCTGTCCAGTGAGAATAAATGGCATGCCGAAATTAATCCCCCCCCCCCCTCGTGCTGACATTGCCAGAGTCTGTTTTTTTTCCCTTGCCTGTTCACTGCATCCACACATTCCAGAACTCCACTGTTGCTACGGGATACCATCCCTTCCGAAACCCCGCGGCATCGCTTCCTTCAGAGACGAACACCCACTAAACTGTTGAGTCACGACACAGAGAGTTTTTACATAGCCCAGCTGGAGTATAGCAGGAAGGTGAAGGTCTAAAAGCACCTGGGACCCCCCCCCAATAAACCTTGGGCCTGAGGCAGACATGCTGAAAAAGGCTTTTTGGAACCGTTTTATTCCACTTGTAGTTAAAGAGCACCAGCAGAAAGGGAGAGATCTGTTTACATTTGTACTTGTTTTTTTTTTTGTAGTACAAACTATATGGATGATGTTTGGTCTTTAACAGACTCAGAGAGCTTCATCAGCCAACGGTTCAAACACAACGTCAACTTGCTCTCAGACGCATTCAGGCAGACAAACGGCTCATGCCAAACCTCTCAGATACCGGTGCAAAAGCAGCACGTGAGTCCTGCTCTGCCGCCAAGACTCTAAATGATTTATGAGGTCTGTCATGGCGTCTCCATTCATGCGCTCCTCACACCCAGGTGCCACAAGGATGGCCGGCGATGCCAATTATTTCTGAAGAGCGAGATTTTGGCACTTTGTTGAAGGCGTAATTGGCGAATCCCCCTCCCCGCGTTCTTTATATGGGGATGTCACGCATCAAAGAAACCTGAAGTGCGGAGACGTCGTTCGGAGTTGGATCGGTGTTCGGAAGACGCAAAGAAATGGACAGAGTCCATCGGCGGTGGAAATATGAGAACACTCAGGTCATGGAGTAAAACAAACTCTCTGTCAGGCACATAATTATAGGAACTGGGCAACGTCACCATCAAAGATGTCACGACTAAGTTAGCGACTATTTTGCCAAGTCAAGAACAGTCATTAAATTTAATTAAAACCTTCCTGTTTTCAAGCTTCCCTCAAACAACCAAATCAGATCTTATACTCCCGTCTGACTATAACCAGAAGATGAAATCAGGACATATATATTCATATAAAGCAAAAGTATAGCACATCTAACCGTTTCGGAGGAATTATCTGACAATATAAAAATCCCTGAAGGGCTACCATAAACTGCAATTTCCCTGTGAGAGAAGGCATAAGAGGTTTGTTTTCATGCAGTATTGCTGGGTAAATGCCTTTCCGTCCCCTCCAGCACCAGGCACACTGAGCATGCCCAGCAGATGAGCTTACTGAGCATGCCCAGCAGATGAGCTTACTGAGCATGCCCAGAAGATGAGCTTACTGAGCATGCCCAGAAGATGAGCTTACTGAGCATGCCCAGAAGATGAGCTTACCATGTTGGTGAATGCAGAGAAGAAGCCTCCCTGGTTTTCCTCTTCCTTATCCTTGTACTGCCTGTGGGGGCACAGGCGAGACCGTAGTGAACTAGTGAACCATCTGACCTTTTTTTACTCGATTTTACTTGAGTAACTCTGACTCCGTCCCCCTGCCTTCAGGAACCAATCAGCCAATCTTGATTACTTCGTGCCAGCATTTCACGTAATCTGCTGTATTCATAGGATCTCATGCTCATTCCACCTTCTTGGCCAGAAATGTTTTGTTTTGATCTAAACTACTCTAGTCCAGTAACCTCACTGACACCCCGAACCAGCCGATACTGGCATGGTTAGCAGGACTGACATGATCCATTCTCCCTGAAAATATCCCTTTCGTATGCATTCTGTACAGTTTAGAGTATACGAAAATGTATCTGCTATGTTCTAGCAGCTCAATGTGTATCCCCAACTTATGCTTCCACCCCGTAGTGCCCCCTACCTGTTATATTCCGTCAGGGCCTGCGAGATCACCATCCCAAGTCCCTGCAAAGACACGACGGGTCACAACAGAAGCTTTGTTAATGCGGCCCCCATCTCTCTGCCTGTAAAACGGGGACTTCTGAAAAGCACTACGTGACTTAGTGTCAGTTTCATGAGCAGGCACAGTGCTCTACCTACGTAATGTCTCTATAAAGCACTATGATATTTTAGTGTCAGTTTCATGAGCAGGCACAGTGATCCACCTACGTAATGTCTTTACAAAGCACTATGATATTTTAGTGTCAGTTTCATGAGCAGGCACAGTGCTCTACCTACGTAATGTCTCTATAAAGCACTATGATATTTTAGTGTCAGTTTCATGAGCAGGCACAGTGATCCACCTACGTAATGTCTTTACAAAGCACTATGATATTCTTCCCAGCTCCCAGTCTATAAGAAATGCTACACAGACATTATGATTTTTACGTACTGCGCAATATCAATGTTAATAATGTACATTTCAAAAGCCTTAATGGTGGCCGACTTACATTAAGGGTGGGCTCGTCATCGACTATAGACAGCTTCACAATGTAGGGATTCACCGACTGTCAGGAGGCAAAGTTAAAGAGAGACGGGTAAGCAAACCCAGGAAAATCAGTCCCGGTGCTACAGTGAGTAATGGCAGGGCGTAGTGGGAGGTCACGTCTGAAAGCCCCCTCACTGCTGGAAGCGGCAGAACACTCCGCCACTGGGGGCAGCCGACTGGGGGACACCAGTAGCTCAAACACTTAAAGGCTGATTATTCATTGTTCAAACTAAGCCTGAACCTTCCTACCATGATAAGGGGAAAAAATGTATTTATGCAATGTAGTATAATTTAACATGTCACTGATATGATTATAGTCATTTATGAAGTGAAACGATATAAGGTGAAAACACATCCAACGGCAGAGACTGTAGTCATGGCAACCGGAATCTCTCTAATTTAACGGGGGGGGTGGCTCACCTCATACTTCCTGTAGTTGACCAGGAGTGCCAGCAGGACCACAGCATCGTACCCATGCTGCGGTCTGCTGGGGGTCCCCGAAAGAACCTAACAACAGTCATGGGGGGGAGGGGGAGGTATTACAGATAGAGCTTCATAAGGTGGTGACAATGGCAAAGCAAACCTGAGGGCTGCAGTACGGTGTGTGGACAGTGTTTCCTGTTATACCCACCAATGAAAACCCAGGAGAGCAAATTACGGAATGAAATAGCACTGAACTTTAAATCACCCTGAATAACAGTGTCTGTCAACGCAGATCAGCAATTATACTGAGCCCATTCATTAGACCGACTCCCTGGATTCAGCATCCAACGAAAAGGGGGGCACCTACACACCGTGTTTAGACTGCTACTGCTCGATCAGCACGCCAAAGATTTAACATGAAGGTGACTGCCAGTCTCACCTGTAGAATAGCCTCAAAGATGCTGTTGATCATGACATACTCCAAGAGAGTATTCTGGCTGATGTTATCAGTCACCTAAAACAGAACACAAGCATTTCAGCCATACAACACCAGGGAGATGTTCCACAAGGCTTATTTTGAGGGTTCTAGAAGGCCTATAACCACTGCTGTAGAGGTGACTCTAGTTTACTCTAAGGTCTATCATGTTCTAAAAGTGCCATCATTACTGCTGTAGAAACCTTTCTTATGTTCTAGAAGGTCCATCGCTCATGTTCTAGAAAGCCCATAACTAGTGTTCTGGTAGGCCAATAACTACCACTACAGGTGCCTCTCTAACGTTCCAGGTCCATCACTAGAAGGTCTGTCTCTACTGTGGAAAAGGCCCATATGATGTTACTGAAGGCCATGCACTCATTCAAATCAAGGTGGAAATACGGGTCCTTTTATCTTTTCACCATCACAGGAAGACATTCAAGAGGAGGCATCAGAAGAACGCGACTGATCTTACAGCTGACTAGTAAAAATACCTTTACAGTAAATAACATCTAACGACTGAAAATTTGCATCCTGGGTGCCACGATGAGGCACTCATTGTCTTTAAAAACAAAAACCAGACGCGGTAAATTAGCTAATGGCGTCCATCACTCTATTCACCATGACAAAAGGATGGAGAAAAGTCGTTTGTTTTCCCGAAGCTCTCTCAGAAGCCTCCGGACCCATCGAGCTACAAAACGCAGGCACTCCGTCTCTAAAGATAGCATTGATTCAAGTGCCTCCGTGAAAAAATCACCTACAATACGCTGTGCAATGCAATGGTGCTAAACCCAATTCCCTTAATTACAAACAAACAGTCTAACAAAGAAAAACAAATGCGAACAAATAATCAAAAAACAATTAAAAAAAAAAAACAACAATAGCAGTGATGCTAAAAACTGCAGCCATGACGGTTGTCTGCCGGTTGTGTTTGTCATGGCTGGTGGTCGTAACCATATGGAGCAGCAGCAGAAACAGCCTCACCGTGACCAAACAAAGCAGCATCCTGAGACAGAGGCCCTTCAGGCTTTCAGATCCATCTCCACACAGCAGGGCATCCAGGCTCTCCATCAGGTCCTGCAGGGACACGTCACGTGACACTGCTTACCACACAGGCCAGGGTTTCCCAACCCAGTCCCCAGGGACCCAAAGAAGGTCCACTTTTTGCTCCCTGTCACAGTCCACATTCTTGCTCCTCATTTTTGCTCGCATAACTGTCTGGCAGGGAGCAAAACGTGGATCGTCTGCTGGTCCCCAAGGACCGGATTGGGAAACACTCCGCTTGAGGAATCTACTTGCAAATAAGCATCCTGAACAATGCCACAGGAAATCATCACAGTCTCTTTGTGAGGGAAACTGTTGGTTCTGTGAGCGGGTTTGGAAAACAACGTCTGCTGGGAAACTAAAAAGAACAGAAGTGAACTGGATATACAGCAGGATATTGTACATAAGCCATTCAGGTTTCTCTTCTGCGAAGCTGTCTGCAGGTCAGGCTCTCATAAATAAAAGACACTGGAATGGCGCGGGCGTGGTAAAGGAACACATCATATCATTCTTACGACACAGGAACAAAGGGGTCAAAGGTCAGCACACCTTCATGCGAGCCTCCGCCTTGTCAAAGCCCATCAGCATGTTGATGATGTCGAAGCCCGACGACGGTTTATTTTTCTGGTGGACGCCCCGGAACAGGGCACACAGCGTCTGTAAGATTTACCATAGCAAACAGTGGGAATAAAAACCTGCAGTTTCACTTTGCACCAAGCCTCGGAGACATGGTTAAACAGCTGCAGGCATTCCTGAAGAAAATTTCCGTGTTTTGGTGACATTCTGGTGTATGGAAGACTATAGCCTCTACCATTATCCACACTCACATCTGATGCTTTGAGTAAAATCACTAGAACCATCATTCAGAATACGGCCTCCAAGCTCTATCATGCAGCTCAGATTCTTTTCCATGCACCTGGAGAATTTTTCCACTGACCAGGTAAGGAAATCAAGAATGACAGTTAATTAAGTGGTCCGCTGCTGCCCCCCACTGGTTCTCACCTGCAAGGCGTTAACCACCTTGATCTGGTGTTCCTCGCTTAGTGTCCGCACACAGTGGTGGAACAGCCGGTTAATGTTGTCCTGGATCTTGGTCACCTCATCTCCATCCAGAGACTCCAGCTTCGCCTCCAGGTACTCCAGGTTTGCCTGGGAAATGAAGAGGAAGGCAACTCAGGCTTAAACGACTTAAAATCAGCTGGGGGGGTGGAATGGGGCCCGCATTAGACACAGTGCAGTTCAATGTGCTTACACAGGGACAGAGAAACAATTAGCTTTGTCCTTGGGACATAAAAGTTCATCGACCACCCCCAAAAGGAAGACACATCGTAAACAAAATATGGAATACCTCACCTTCATAAGGAACAGTTCCTCCCAGAAGCGAGGTTTGTCCTTGGCTGGATCTTCAACCTGGGGTGTAAGGGGCCAGATCATCAAAATAAGCGAGGGAGACAGGTGCAGTGTGGACAGAGAGCAGTGTTTAAGTAAGCTAAGCCTACGTCCAGCAGCCTGGCTAACAAAGCAAGCGGTGAAAGCATTACGGGACCTTTGGCATGTACAGTGTGGAGAAAATCTCATTTGCACACTCAAGATCAACTGGGCTTTTTTGTGAGTAATCTGCCGCTGAATGAAAGGTGGGCGACGTTCTTGAGATGATTCTGACCCGATGTTTGAGCCAACTTGGTGAAACAGGGAGCAGACAGGGAGCCCTGCCTCTTCACAAAATTACTTTTAGGTTTTCATGTCGAAATAAACACGGAGGGAACGCAACTCTTACCGCAAAGATCTCGTCGTACATCAGCACCACCTTCTCCGTCAGCGGTTTCTTAGGGGTCGAAGACCTCCTCAGCAAGCCTGCCTTCTTCTCCACTTGGGCCATGGCGCAGTCCTAGCATGGAGGAGACACACGGTAATCGCTGAAACAGGCAGTTCCCAGGTTATTCTAACCATTAACTTAGAATAACAGAAACAGTTCCCTTAATTAATGGTGGTAATTTCCATTCAGTGGATAAACAAATATTTCTGCAATATGAAACCATAAAAAAACATGTCATGGACTTGTGTACAAACCAGTCACGGATCTGGCAAATCAACCAAGTAAATCAACCAAGCGTTAACTCCCCCAAAATACACCGTGTCACCTAGTAGTTAAATTGCGTTATGACAAAAACTGCAGTGAGCATCTTATGTCATTCTGCCGAAAGCCTTACACCATACCATGATGTGAATTGGTGGTCTATATAAATAAAGTTCTACACGTCCATTGTTCTAACTTGATGTTTTCCCCAAGTATTTTAAACATGCATAATTGGTCACCTTTTACAATTCATTTTAACGTGCGTTCAGTTAGCGAATAACTTTTAAAAGTGTGGCCCCCGTAAACTTATAATAATTTAAGTGGACAGGCGATGGAGTTGTCTGTTTTACATGCCGATGTTTTGATGCAGTTGCTGTTTGCCGAACAGGAGGAACCCTAACCCCGTCTTTACCGCCGCTACTTCTGTGTAATAAAAGAAGTTTTAACGCGCATAATTAACGTCTCTACAGAAAGCATGTCGTGATGTTACAGCATTTCTCATTCGGGTTTATTAAGGAGCCTCCATGTGAAAATGAGTATTAACGTTGACTGCTGTGCGCGTTGTGATTAGAAGCATAGAGACTCATTGGCCGCGATTTTAAACGGCTAGCTGGGGTTCAGCTGATGGGTTATTGCGATGTTTCCGGCTGGTGAGCCTCATCTTTGGGCTTTCTGCCGTCACAAACTGGGGCAAGGGAGCGCCTGCTCCTACTGCCGCTGTCACAGCAAGTTGTCATTGGCAGACACCAAGTTGGCCGTTTCTTAAATGACTTTTTGCCTCGTTAAACTAACACTTACATATGTTTTTATTTTAATCGGTGCATACGGTTAGTTCCTACCTGCCTACTGAGTCAAATGATATTTGTCATGCGTCCCTTCTAAGTCGTTCAAGAAAGCGAAGAGGTACCTCGACTTCTGCGGGGTCGATGGAGATCCGCATGAACGTCGACGGGGCAGCCCGTCTCTGGGTCCTAGTGCCTCCCGTTTTGATAGTGCGTCTGCATCATTAAAAACCGGACAAATTAAATCGTGATCTAAAGCACCGCTGTCATTTTGTTTAGTTGTTTTTCTTTGTTCGTAAACTGCTACTCACACAGATATAAAAAGTGGAACACACAGTCGCTGCACTTTAAAAAAATGAATATTGAATTTACAACTAATTCATCTATGGACACGTCAGTGCCTACGGCGGTGAACGAGTTAACAGTGAAATCCGGTTGGGTTCGTAAACCCAAAGGGCGGGGCATCGTCTTTTGCGTCATTTTTAATGGACGGAAGAGCTGGAAGTTTTCAAAACAACAACACACGCAGCTAGGTCCCAATGCTCCTCCGGGCTGGGGGGCGGTTTGAGTTGGCCGGTACTTGTTATACGTTAATGTAATAGTCGTGTCAGATAGAGAAGTGTAGGAATTTGTGTGGATTCGTACCGGATCCAGCAAAGGAATCAACAAAAATGTTTAAAAGTTGCGGTTTGTAATAAGATATATACATCGAAATGCTATATTCATGTCATCGAATGTGTCATTGGTCTTTATGCGGAAATTACGCTTCCTCTTTTTTTCAGTTCTCTTAATTCATACTTTCTGAGGCGAATGTTGCCAAATAATGAAGCGACTTGTTCTACATCAAGAGACAGATTTTAGTGACTTCACCCAAGGTAGGGTTTTGATTGACTTTTTGAAACAGAACTCCGCCAGTAGTATCTGCTATACCAATAACATTCATAGTCGATTATCCAATATCCGAATTAGCCCCAATGGACATCACATCCATATAATTATTAGCGAGCCAAAAAGTGGCCTTTTAACTTTCGACAAGCATATACGACATACTCAGTCACGCAACCAAAAACTTTTAGTGTTAAGCCGTACGAGATCAGTTTATATCGTGGACGTTGTCTACTTGAACAATAGCAGCAGAGATCGTAGTGGAGATACAGCCGTTGTCGTTTTTGAGAATGGAAAATCCGATTTTTGGAAATACTGCGAGCAGGAAGGCTGGCATTTCCTGCAAACAATGGAGCTGTGCCAGATCCCTAAAGCGAAAGTGAAGTCCATCTGTGCCAGCAGCAACATCATTGTCTGGTGTGAAGAGACCCCACCCTCCAAATCAACATCAGCAATCAATGTTCATCAGAACTGCTTCTGTTACCGTATCTGCAGCAGATCTTATGAGCTGGAGGAGGGGGCAGCCATCTTGGGGGAGGTGAAGGTCATTCTGCACAACAGTCCTCGGTACATGACCGTTGCCTCTGGAAACAATGTGCACCTCTTGCCAGACCCAAAGGGGAGTACTTTCAGGAACATCTCTGGTTTCTTCCTGACATGGTTCCCACAGTGTGGCTCACTTGCCATCAGCAGTATCTCTAGGGGAATTCTACTGATGAAGGAGTCATGTGCTATGAGCGACGGTTATAATTTCACAGAGCTCATATCCCTCGCGGTGCCTTTGGCCTCCAACCATCTAGAAATCTGTGCTGCCTCTACCTCCAGGTGTGACAACCTGTCCTTTCTGCTGAGCTCTGGCTGGATCAACATGATAGACAATCATGGCACGTTGAGACAAGTCTACAAACTGGCGCACAGTTGTAGCACCACGGGTGGAAAATGGATCGACATGAATATCTACCATAATTGGCTGGCTGTGATAGTGGGGAAGACCTTATATTTGATTGATGCCCAGTGTGGCTTGAAATTGGAGAAAATCCTCCTGAAGACAGATGGGATGCTTTATGTGAACTGCCAGGACAGCCAGGTGCCACACATCCTGACAGAAGCTGGGCTATTCCAAGTGAAATGCTGGGATCAAGACTTCAGTCATGTGCTGGACCAAGGCTGTGTCAGGCCAGATGATGTCCTTATGAAGACTGTCTTTGAGGAGTCTTGTAGGCACTACCAGAAAAGGAGTCTGAGTGACAGACAAATTACAGTGGAGACGCTGCTAGCTGACAGGAAATTCCAGGCTCCTTTCTTATTGTCCTCCATCCTCTGTGACTTCCTGAAAGTCCAGGATGGAAGCGACCTTGACTACGGCCAGCTGCTCAGCTACCTGAAGCCTGAGTTGAAACGCTTCATGCTGCTGGATGGCATCAAAATGTTAGCGACTGCAGCATCTGAGAAGGACCAGAGCAGCTGCTGTGAAGTGCTGGTGTGTGAGGAGGTTGGCCGCCTGCTTAGTTCAGACATGGAAAGAGAGGATGTGCTCCATCTGAACCTCATGTTCAACATGTTCCCTTCTGAATCATGGCAGGCCACACAGGGGATCCTACAGCTTCAGTTGAATGAAGAAGGATCCTTTTCTGCCAAAGTTCCACTTGAGGTATGGAGGACTATCCTGTCCAGCGTTCAGCCGTTGGCCTGGCCCACACATCAAGGCATTCCTCCTGCTGTGCCAGTGCCAGTGTTTGAGCTGCTCTGCCAGATGTTTCTTCGATACCAGCCTCAGTGGCTCCCCAGATTTCTGGAACTGGCGCAGCAGTGCAGCGGTGACCTTTTGTCCACTCCCTCCAGGCAGAAGGCCGGTCCTGAGGAGACTCCTCTCTACAAACGAGCCCTCTCGGTTCTTCCGTTAGGCAGGGACTCCCAGGGCCTGGAGGTGGAACTGCTGCTGTGCAGCTGCAGGCCCACTGGGATTCTGCAAGCCCTGCGGCTCCTTGTGGACCGACGCCAGTGGGAACAGGTTCTCCAGCTGGCAGAGCGGTTCTGCCAGCAGAGCCCACTGCTGAACAAGGAAATCTTCACGACCCTGTTACAGGAGCTCTCCCAGCATCGTGACCTGGACCCTTACCTCGACCGAGTATGGGCCCTGTGTCCTGCGGACATCACAAGTACCGGCATCCTAAGTGTGCTTCTGGAGAGCTTTTCTGCATCCATCCCATCCGGACCTCAACCTTTCCAGACACAAAACTGCCAACTTACCTTAGGCCTGCTGAGGCCTCTGTTGAGCCAGGTGCTCCAAAAAGAGACCAAGGTCAACCAGGGGTGTGTGAGGGTCCTCTGGCCCCGAGCCCATCCTCCCCCGGTGCCCCCAAGGCGACCCAGGGAGATGTTAGTTGGGTCTGATGTTGGTCACCCATATGCCACTTATCAGCCTGAAAGTGAAAATGGACGACTGGCAGCCAATTCTGATGGCTAGAGCTCACATCTCAGCTTATAAAGAAAGTTTAGGCCATTTGTTTTCAGCTCTTCTGGCCACGTTTCAATGATTTTAAACCGCTCCCAACCCCAATGATGAAAGGAATGGTTACATCATGGTCTGGGGGCAATCGTAGGGTTTTTCCCATAATAAAAACATGGGACATTTATAAATACCCAGAAAGGCATATAGAATGAGCGCTTAACCTATACCAATAGAACACCCGTTTAATTTTTATTTGTTTACTATACCTGTGTAATACAACAGCTGTAATATAAAAATATGACGTTGATGTATTACATCAGGGATTCTCAACCCAGTCCTTGGGGAACGCCAGAAGGTCCACATTTTTGCTATCACCATAGCTACATTGTTGCCAAAAGCACAGTGTACTCCACAGTAAAGATTCTAAAATGCTTCCTGATAGACTCTTGACACCAGTCAATCGCAAAATGAAGGGGAGGAGTCAGAGGAGATTGTTTCAGTGGATTTTGGGAAGATTGACTGATTTTTAGGGAAGCTGAGGGGAAAGATGGATGCAATAGTCTCCAGCACTACCTGTGCTTTTGCCCTTAAAATTGTTTTTAAAAGTAAAAACATGGCATTTCCATGTTTCTAGGTATTACTAGTTTACTGAAAGTTCCAATTATTTTACTTTAATCACATGTATTGCTTTGGGTGAAGCGTAATATATTCTTAAGTTCAGTCAAAGCACTTTAGAATTCATTTTGTAAAATCTATTATTTTGTGAAATGAATAATTATGCTATATTTAGTTTTGTTGACTAGCAGTAATACCTGCATGGTATTATTGTTGTTGATAATTTTGGCAAACTACAGGCTGAAACACAATTACAGGAGAAATGTTTTAATGACTTTGTTCTCCGTCGTCTGTAATGCTTGTATGGCTGCCTGAGTCATTACTTGCAGGCTGTATGTTTATAATTTTGCATATGCAAAAAAATAAAACATTGCAGGCTATTACATTTCATTAGAACATGTTTTTATCCAAAGGGACTTACAACTGAAAGCAAGGTCAGTCCCTCGAGCAATTGGGGGTTAAGGGTCTCGCTCAAGGAACTAATGGCAAAGTCGTTCTACTAACCCTGGGATTCGGAGGGGTGACTCTCTAAGCCCCTGAGCCACACACCACCCCCAAGTGGATGAATGAAGTACACACTACTGTATATACATCTGTCTTAATTAAAACTGAACTTTCCAAAACATTTTTAATCATCTGGGCCAAACTGTGTCCGCTCTCTCAGGGTCTCACTATCGTTTGTGGTCCAGTGCAGATCATTTGATCTTCATGCATTTGCCTGTTTGCCGTGATGTATGCGTGCTGTAATGACCCCGGATACCTCAGCTCAGCATCTCTTTTAATCAGTGCTGTCTGCGGGCTCAGCTTGGCACTTAAGGGCGTGGAGTCTGAAGCTCTCGGAAACACGTCTGCTCTTCTACCCCTGAGAACGGTTCCTGGCTTATATCTCTCCAGTAAAACACTTAAGATCAATAACTAAGAAAAACAAAATGATAACAGTCAGGCTATTTTTGGATGATGACACGTGGACTTGGTGCCCAGGTAGAAGCTGCGTGAAATTTGCCATCTATGTGCTGGGAGTGCTGATCGCCACAGACTCACTGTCCCTCAAATCAGACAGTGGGCAGCAGGCTCTGTTCACATGCATACACTGTTAGGAATTTATACCTTTAATGGTACAATTGCTTGTCACTGGAGCTGTACCCTCAAGAGTCTGCCAATTGTACCCCAGCTGTAGGTAAATGTACCTTTTAAGGCACAGCAATGGACTCTGAGGAACATTTTTGTACCACTGAGGTACATTAATGCTGTTTGTGCCTTGGGGGACAAATCTGTACCGGGACTGAACGTTCTTATTTCTGACTGTAGGCAAGGCAAAGCGAGGTAAGCTTATTTGTATAATACATTTCATACATGGGGCAGCTTGGTGGTGCAGTTATTCCCCCCCCCCCCCAGTCCAAAAACATGCTCATATGGTGAAATGGCTTTTGGCCATTATGCTGCTGCAGCTGGAAGCAGCTCCCATAAGAGCTGAGATATGCCCCAAAAACATACAGGCAACTGGGTCAGCCGAAGAGCCATCATGCCAGCATGCTGGCGGTGGTTGGTGCTTTGGGGAATTCAGCTTTTTTTTTCACGCTCTGATTTGCCTGAGCTTACTGATATTCCACTTTTAAATCTCTTATTACGTCTCTCATCACGGTTACACCCATAACAGCATCATTAGTACAGTGTAATATGAAAGTTTGCTAGACATAGTTTTGTGTTATTATACTATTACAGAAACTAAGTGGATACATTTAAGGTGTCACAGAGCCCGTAGACATCGCTGTAGAGGAACATCTCAGAGGAAACTGCAGCAGATACCTGATCTTCCTTCTGTTACTTCAGGACATGAGCAGTAAGGGTTAAAAGATACGCGATAAAAAATCACTGTATACCGCTGCTGTATTATCGCACCACTGATTGTATACTGGTGCACTGTGACTTCAAACCTTTAGTGCTGTGGGTTTGATTCCCATTGTTGGGATTGTGTTTAGTTAGGAATTTGTGTCTGTGCAGGTCACTTCCAGGTTCCCCCTAAGTCCAAAGACATGGGATTAGGTGTATTGGTGCTTCTACGGAGCCCTTAGAGGGTGTGATGCTCTCTATGTCTCCCCCGGCCAGCTTGAACCCTCCCTTGTGCATCTTGCTTCCTAGAATCGACTCCAGGCTAACCAAAACTGCACTGGATATGGGTTATGGAAATGCAGTGATAATCAGTGCATTTTATAAAAGAGTCCATAAGATGAGTCAAATATTCTTTTGCTTTAAACTGATGTTGAGAAAATGTACGACTCATTAAACATATCACACAGGAAGGTCATTAAGAGTAGGTAAAACACCAATGACCTGACTAGGGTGTGCGTGTGCCAGAATATTCCACTTTCACTGAGCAACATTAAAAAGATCATATTTTTGGTATCATTTAAAGGTTAATCCCATCCATGGCAATAAGGCTTACCTCTGGCACGTGACTCATGTTGCCAGGGGACTGAACAGTGTGGTGCACGATATACCCAGATGCTGTTTATATTCGCAGTCCCTAGCTTGTCCCTTAAAGCACAGCTGCAGAAGCCTGGCGCTGAAGACCCAGTTCAAGCGGTTCATCCCAAAACAGTGTTTTTCCAACACCGGGAGGATATTTGGATGTTTGCGTCAGATCTTTTCCGTTATTCCATAACAAAAGACTGGCATGAATATTTCAGGCGGAAAGGAGTCGGCCTCGCTCTGGGCTATGCGAGGCGGATCGGACCATCCTCTGGTTAATAGATTGTGTATGACGGGCAGAACTCCTGACCATAGCTAGATTATCTGTTTGTACTCCCAGACAGGGTGGCTCAGTGTGATCTCTGGAAGAAAGAAAAAATCACCAGGCAAGGTTGGGGGCAGACATGCAGGCAGACGGTCAAGTAACTGTGGATAAGAAATAGATTAGAGCTTGTTTTGCTGAAAGACTCGGAGATCGTTCGCGTATCGCCGGCTGACGGTGCGACTCCTTGGCATTAAGCTGGAAATGGCACAAACCCAAATGGTTCCACTGTGCTTGCAGACACCTCGACATTTTTGTGGCGGTGAATCCGCGTCAGGACTGTTTTGTTAATTATTTTTTTTTAAGATTTTGCCGAACCCTGAGCAGATAACAGGCATGAATGATCGTTGGCAAAAGTCGATGAAATTCCATTTCAATAGTTTCTTATAGTGTTCGAGAGGAACGATCGGAATTTGATAAAAAAAAAAGTTTTAAGCCAAAAACTCACATCCTTCATACCAGTTTTGTCTTAAAAACTCACGAACATAGAAAAACAGAATAGAAGCGGTAGGCGCCTTTTTTTGTCTTTATCGGAGATATTTATCAGTTTGAAGGTACTTTCAATCAACTGGACCCATGCAGTTCGGTGCTGTGGTGGGCAAATAACAATAATATTCAGGACCCCGATGTCTGTGAAACGCCCTGTTAACTCGTCGGTTTGATAAAACAGATAGACCTGCGTCCCTGGGTGACAAATATATAACGTACGTAGTATTTGTTGGGTAGCCCGCAGAAATTAAATGAACCTCTTACGTGGAAGTTCAAAATAAAGTGATAATGATGGTTAGGGGAGACATTTTCTGAAGGTTGTCGCCCATAAACTGGCAGCCATGGCAATGTCGGATCGCAGCCGGTTGCAATCATGTTGCAAAGAGGGGGACAAAAATTCTATATACCGGCAAATACTTTGTTCTCGAATTTTTGGTCACACCTTTGCTGACCACTAGGTGGCAGCAATAACAAAAAATGGGGGCGTAAAGGCTTTTCAGTCATTTGCATTTTCTCGCTTCGTAGCTAGACGCCGGACTGCCTTTTAACCGGAAAGGTGACGTTTTGATGAAATATTTTGCACTCGTCTTTTACGTCCAGGAATGTATCATCAACGTTGTTTTCCTTCGACATTAGAGAAATCGCTTTCAATAGCGTGGCCATGCGGATTCTGAAATGTCCAAATATAGCAGCTTTAGTCGACAGGAACGCGAAAGGAATTATTGATTTAATAAATCACGCTGTACTGAGCAAAATGCATTATTTGGATATACGTGTATCGTGACGTAGGACATGATCCGTGTTGATGATATTGGCTTTCTATGTGCATGGAGCAAACTGAATCTTTTACCATTTCTCTGAAGTGACTGTTGTTAAAACAACAACGCTCACTGGTGAGCATTAACCGTACAAAGCAAAAGGCACGAGCTGGAAGACCGCTCGAGGCCTTTATACGCTGAAACAGCCCCCCCCCCCCTTTATTGTTTTCCTAAGACACATTTCCAACATGGAGGATTTTATTCATTTATACCCACAATCTAAGGACGGCCCTTAACCCCCCCAGCCAGTATTTTCTTTGCGGCCCTCCTTGGCAGATGGTCCTGCACCCCCCACCCCACCCCCCTCAAACTGCCTTGGGGGGCTGCAGATGGTCACAATGCCTCAAAGGAGCAGGGAGTGTTTGGGAGACCCCTTTCACTGCGGTCAGCCTGTCCCCCAGGGAGAGTGACCATCTCATTCATTTTGTCTCTGTAGAAGGTCTTGGGGTTGGATAAGAGCAAGGCCAGCAGAATACCGCAGCAGGCCTCAAATCTACCTTGTTTATTTGCAGGCGTGCTGTTAGCATAGATGGCACAGCTACACCAATGCACAGGCTCATGTTCCAGTCGTACAGCGTGACATCATGCCGTTTATCACGGAACAGCGCCGCACACAGATGTGCACACCAAGCAAACGTTGTTGCTCAGCGCCGCCCCTCTCTCAGCAGGGACAGCGAATGGGGTGCGAGAGGCGGGGATGGGGGGCGGAGATACTGAAAGGGACACTTCCATGATCAGGAAGCACATTCACTGGAAGTGACCCAAATGCTTACATAACCAGCTCAGAATTTAAAAGTGATGCTCTTTGCCCTGCAAAACAAACAATTCTGCACACATTTTATTTCCTTTAATAACCTCAGCTGGCCCCAGAACAGCAATTCTTCTCCCATAGGCGTTCAAACCCTAAAGATCATTGTGCAGGTTGTCTGCCATTGGTTGATTGGGTAGTACCTTTTCAGCCAATCACGGGTAAGGACGAGAGAAGGGAGTTCCTGTTACTCAAGTAGTAGATTGCCTGATTCGCTTGAGGTATCTGGGAAAACCAGAGCTGCAAGACAGTTACACAAGGCTGTCTGCAAACTCAAGTCCCCGTCTCCTGTGCATTGAATTCCCTTCCAGGTGTTTAAGTTGTGTAAGTTAGTATGTGACAATCACATCAAGTGCTTACCAAGCATTATACATGTAACGGATGTATAATAAAGCCACTGTAGGCCCCAGACTGTGTTTGCTCCAAAACCAAACACACTGCAGGAGATGCGTTCATTTATAGCTGCGTTTACTACTGTGATGTTACCATGGTGACAGTGCAGGGTGAACAGACTGTCATCAACAGGCATGATTGTGAAAGCAGACACTGAGCTGTTGGGGGAAGGGGGGGACTGGAGAGTTCTTGTAAATCATCAGTGCTCATGTCTGAAATTCACAGATATATACTGTAGAATACATTATGCCGCCTTAGTTGAACACAAAGGTATTCAGTAGCGCAGTGCTTCCCAATCCGGTCTTCTCTGACCCAAAGACAGGGACCTGGGAGGGAGCAAAAACATGGACCGGCTGGGAATCCCCAAGGACCAGTTTGGGAAATGCTGCACCTATGTACAAGGCGGCTGCAGGTTCACAAGTGTACAGCAGGGGGCAGAATGGTCGGCTAGCAGCCCTGCAGACATGACCCCGAAACCACACACACACACGCCTGCACTGATCAGACACCCTCTGCCAAAATAAGACAGAAGATAGAAGACCAGTTACTGTAAAGTGAAAATTCATCTTTATTGGTACCATACATGAATTATCAATGGCAGAATCTAGGGAAAAAAAAAACCACAAAAAAATAAAAATAAAAAAATAATGAAACTGCCCTAAAGACGAGGTGCTGTAGGGGGCAGTGTGTGGGTACGTGTCACCATTCAGCGTCCTCCTCAGGTGCAGATGCTACAACTGGCGAGTCGTACCTGGGCATTCACTGGGGCTTCTCTCCTGGGTATTCATAATGCAGTGCGGATAGGTAAGAATTGTACAAACAGAGCACGAAACCTTCCAGTGTTGGCATTTCAGGATTTATATAAAAATACTCAAAAGCTTGCTTTTATCAGTTCTCAAACAAAATAGATCTTAGACCTTTTGTACCTCATCTTGCTTTAGCTCGCATTAACCGAAAGGCTGACTACTGTGCTTGTCAAGATGCATCTCTAACATCCCAGGTCTTAAAAGGGATTTCGGCATGTTATGGTATTAACTCTACAGTGAGACGAGTGTGTGTGTGAACGAGGATAATGGACTGGAAAAAACATGTACATGACAATGTTTCTGGACTGGCAAAGAACAATCTTACATTTGAATGGTGATTGTACCCCTAATTTAATTTAATACAAGTTCAAAAAGAAGTATTTGGTTGGGGATTTTTTTTTCCTTTTTAATATTAGATAAGGATGGCTTACGGGAGAGCTCTAGAGAAGAATACATTTAATTACAGTTATACAGAACTTTGCTACTACCTTAAATATACAAGCACAAATACACAGAAATCATAAAAATTCTTAAAAAGAAAAGCCCACACATAATTACTTTCCTTAAAAAAAATACAAATCAATACATTTCAGGGTGAGAATTAAAAGTATCCTGCAAGTCCTGTAGCTCCTTGGTCTGTAGCTTTTAACGTCGGGGGGGGGGGGGGGGGGGGGGGGGGGGAGATCCAAAAAAGAAAAGTTCTTGGGAAAGATAAGAGTATAAAACTTGATTACATCCTTAAAAATTCTGTGTTAAATGCTTTAAATGGGAGGAACTAACTTTTTTAACTATTACAAATACAAGCTGAGGTACTGGACTTCTGGAACCATGCAAATATATGGGGCAGGGGACGCTTCATTTTAAGATGGTGGTCAAAGTCTTTTTTTGTTTTTTTTTTTTTTTTTAAGTGGATCAGAAAAAGAAAGCCACGGAGGCCACTCCTCCCCGTAACTGGACTCCAAGAGGGTGGGGTGGGAGGTGGTTTACCCAAGAGATTCTGACAGCCAGTTCTGATCAAGCCTGAACACCCCCACACCACAGCCCCCGGTGGAATGACCCGACGCCCACTGCTACTGGACCTTCGACTCCTGCTGCCAGATCGTTCCACCTCTTCACCGCTGTCAACAGCAGTGCCTTTCACTCTTATTCAAGGCGCTCAAACAAAAACACACCTACACTCCTATAACATCGGAGCGGCACCAGCAAGAGTCTGCACTGTGCTCAGTGCCGGAAAGTCAAGGCACCACCGTGAGTCACGTGACGTCTAACACGGCCCACAGCGATGGCAGTGACGCTCAGGAGACACGAATCCATACGCAGCGTTACCGTCTCTAAGTTTTAGACCTTTCCCGACAATGAACAATTTGCAAAATACAAAAACGATGTTTTGAGAAACCAAATGGCGATCGGATGCTTTATAGAGTGAACGTGGAGGTTTCTTCTCGAAGAGAAACTACGGTGACTTCGAGGAGGCAGCGTTGCCATGGTGACAAGGGGGCACATTTATGATCCGTCCAGGTCACACAAAGCAGGTAATCAGAACCCTCCCCAACTTTCTTCCTGCTCAGATGGGCATGTGCTGAGGAGGACGCAAATGTCGGCCTGACGGGGGCGCCACACTGGCTTTTAAAAGCTTGTGGGCACAGACCAATGTCATAGAAAAACCATCCTATCGTTTTAAAAGAATTAACGGCAACTTCTTCAGTTTTTTTTAAAGGGGGTGGGACATAAGTAAAACTAAAAATGAACCAGACTTGATCCTTCAGTCCTCTTGCCTCCTCCCCCCCGACCCTCATAAAGGCTGTGGCCAAGCCCCATTTCATGAGCGCTGTTCTGCAGGTAGACCAGTGATCCCACCCTCCCTTCACCATCCCCACCCCCACCCTCCACCTCCGACCCCCCCCCGCATTCCACCCCGCCCCAGTTCACTGAGAAGCCTGAGACGTGGGGTTGTCGTTCTTGCTCTCCTGGCTAGAGGGCGCCTTGTTGTTCCAGGGGCTGTTGGAGCCCAGCGCTGGGGAGTTGTTGAAACTGTCCTCGTCGTCGATGCCGTTGGCGGCGTCGAACTGCGTGTTCTCCAGCCGGGTGATCAGCCGCTCGTCCTCGTCGCCAAACTCCCCCCCCATCAAGGTGGGCTCTCCCACCACCATCACGTCCTGGGTGGGGCGCAAGAGGAGCAAACATTATCCCCGAAATGAAGGGGAAAGGGAGGTGAATCCTTATGGGCCAATGGATACACTTCAGTGTGTCAATGAGAGCACTTGTAAATCTGAGAAATGTCATTTGTTACACCCTGACTGCTTCAACACATCCATTATTAATACCTTTTTCAAACAGCCTTTCTTTAAAGTATTATTTTTTGCCCTCCACCTTTATTGATCATCACAGAGCTACCCGGTGTTCAGTAAACACGGGTACACAGCAGCCTGGCTGCTGAACGCGCTCCCCATACGGAGCCGGCAGTTCTCGTCAGGCTGCACTTTTCCGGGCTCTGGATGTAGGTCGGCCCAGCAGGACCGGCGCACACGTAGCGCGTGACACAAATCAACGGACGGTTAATCCTGAAAAGGCCCCAAAAGATGGAGGACAGTGCATCAGGGGGGCCGCTGGCCTGTGTTTTCTAGGTGAGGGAGACATATTGTTTTTCTATTTGATTAAAATCCACGAGAAAACACATATAGCCCACTCTCTCGAACTCAGGAAATGCTTTCTGCTGAGAAATGTTGCAATTTAGCGCTACTCATTCTGGATGAAGAATAAAGCCCATCTAACATCACATATTTAAACCACATTATATGGTTTCAATTGGTCCCGCCCCTCTCCCACACAAGCCCCGCCCCTCTCCCACACAAGCCCTGCCCATCTCCCACACAAGCCCCGCCCCCAATAGGAACAGGAGACCAGATGCTTACAGGTACCTGGCTGGAGAGCGCAAAGCTGCCAGCGGGGCTCTTCTTCTTGCTGTTGCTGTTGCTGTTGCTGCCACCCCCCGTGCTCATGGTGCTTCCGCCCGACATCTTCCTTTTCCGCCGCTTATTAGGCGGCTGCCTTGCTGGCTCCGCTATGGGGGAGGGGGAGGCCGTGAGGGACGAACAAGTCAGTATCCATGTTGTGTTATGGATTACCAACTAAACAGGCCATGGTTCCTTGAGCTACTTTTCTAGGTTGTTGTTCTGGTTCGGGGTAAGTGGGTTTGATACCGGTGCTCACCTGGGGGGGCCACCATCCGCTGCCACTTCTGGAAGAGGCAGGTCTTCAGGCAGTCCCGGGGGCTGAGGCTGTAGGTCTTGTGCCTGGACATAAGCTCCTGCATGGGCTCCAGGATCACACACAGCTAGGGGCCAGGGGTACAACTTGGTTAATCCTCAACCCATCATTTTTCTCGCATAACCAGAGATTTCAAGCAGTACAAGGAGACTAAAGCTCTGTAAGTGTGGAAAAAATATCTCGCCGTTTGTTCGAAAATGTCTCAATCTGTTGACCTGCTTTTAAATCTTAGACAGGGTGACTGACAGAACTCTACAAATGTGTCATTAAACATCGAATCTGCCTGCAATACTGGTCATTCAAGTTATTTTTAGAGGAGCAGTCCACTTTGAAGCCTGCGCTGAAGGAAGAGGGCCAGCGAGGAAGGCTCACTCGGAGGTAGTTCAGTGTGGAGTTGGAGAGGCCACACCTCGTCATGTTCTTTGACAGCTGGTCCAGCATCTGTGGATCTTGGGCCTATCGATGGGGTGGCGAAAACAAAGCAGTGATCTCATTCACATTAGCCCTGGTAAGGCATGCGGGTGAACGAGAACATGGCTCCCAAGGCAAGGAAACTTGACTTACACACACTCTTCCAGTTAAGAAATAGACACGCAAAACCGAAACGTATGACGAACCCCCACTCACATGCATGGCCAGAATGCTGCGCGGGATGAGCTCACGGTGCTGGCGGATGCTGAAATGCCACGTCTTGATCCTCATCATGTCGTCGAACATGAACTCCAGATACAGTCGTCCCTCCACGCACACCTGAGGGGACAGCGCCGAGTCACATGACGGCACGGAGTCTTCTAACGGCCAGGACCCCGTCGGCTTAAACAAGCTCGGCGACACCACAGCCTCGAACGCCACTTTGTCTGAAAACGGGCCCGAATTCTTTGGTGACAGAGGCTAAGGGCTGATCGGCTCCAGGTGCTCGGGAGCGCAGGGCGTGCCAGATTTCACGCAATGTTCACCGGCATGACGGAACTTGAACAATAGATGACACAATGTGTTGTTCTGAAGGATGTTCTTTCAGGGAGTGGGAATCGCATGAATTCGCTGCAGGGCATAGAGCAAACTCCTGCCGCAGAAACGGTAACCAGATCGCAACTAAAACTATTTAAAAACAGTGGAAAAAATTTAATTCAAAAGAGAAATCTGTTCTCTGGGGGCAAAGTGTGACTCAGCGGGTTAGCATGTTGTGCCTGTGATCAGAAGGTCACCAGTTCAAGTCCCGTGGCCGATACAGCGATTTCACCACTCCCTGACCCTTGACCCTTAACCCCCAATTGACCCAAGGATTGTCTGACCCTGCTTTCTCAATTGTAAGTCACCTCGTATAACGGCGTCTGCTAAATAAATAAAATGTAATATTTTAAAATAGTGACAGGGAGCCCTGATCCTAGAGCGCCGGTATCCTGCAGGTTTCCCATCTTACCTGGTCTCTGATGAACCACACCTGATCTCAGGCAGATAGAAACTCATCAGGAAGGACAAAAAATCTGCTGGAAACCAGCACTCCAGGATCAGGGCTGCCGACACCGGTTTTAAAATAAACCCGAAATGACTGAACTGCGGCCAAGTCTCCCACCCCTTGTCCAATCCGGCCCATCTGTACCACCAGCACCACAGTATCTGACGCTGGCATAGTGGCAACGGTACCTGCGTGAACATGGGCTTGCCGTTCTGCGTGACCATGGTGCATTGGTCACAGTCCAGGGACACAAAGTTGTTGTGGAAGGACTCTTTGGGGTGCTTCAGGACGTAATAGAGCTCGGTGGCACCACCTTCGAAGATGCTGCGGAAGTACCGCGGAATCAGGGTCCGGCCGATCGCTGTGTGGGGGCAACGGACAAACGAGTAGCCAGTCATACAAACGAAACGAAACAATCATCTAGTCGACGGAAAGGAGCTGAAAGTATATAGTGTCGACTTACTGTATCTCTTAGGGCCATCCTCCAAACAAAAGGTGATGGTCAACATGGCATCATCCTCAAAGAACTCAGTGGTAAAGGCATCCCACCATAGGTTATCACACTCCTGAGAGGGGAAGGGGGGGCAGAGGTGAGCCTAGGTGTAATTCCTGGGGGGGCCTCCAGAAGACAGGATGACCAAAATACCACTTGTGTTTCTCATTGCAAAATCCATCAACTGTTTCTCATTGAGAAGCTCACTCAGAATTGGGGTCAGTACTACCATAAGCATAAATGATCATGGGGGGCGGATACTCGCCTCTGTCCAGTTCTGTAGCCGTTTGTTGAGCTCGAATATCCTGTAGTCGGTCTGGTTCCCGTACGGCGTGTGTCTCCTGCCAAGAGCAGAGCGGGGCGCTTAGGAGTCTTAGTCTAGCAAGGTTAGCTTCAGTAGGTAACACAGCCTGGCCGACTGGCTAATCAAAGCAGCGGGTAACACAGCCTGGCCGACTGGCTAATCAAAGCAGCGGGTAACACAGCCTGGCAGACTGGCTAATCAAAGCAGCGGGTAACACAGCCTGGCCGACTGGCTAACCAAAGCAGCGGGTAACACTGCATAAAAAACTGGCTAACCAAACCAGCGGGTAACACTGCATAAAAAACTGGCTAACCAAACCAGCGGGTAACATGGCCTGGCCGACTGGCTAACCAAAGCAGCGGGTAACACAGCCTGGCCGACTGGCTAACCAAAGCAGCGGGTAACACAGCCTGGCCGACTGGCTAACCAAAGCAGCGGGTAACACAGCCTGGCCAACTGGCTAACCAAAGAAGCAGGTAACACTGCATAAACAACTGGCTAACAACCAGTGGGTAACATGGCCTGGCCGACTGGCTAACCAAAGCAGAGGGTAACACTGCATAAAAGGCTGGCTAACCAAAGCAGCGGGTAACACTGCATAAACGACTGGCTAACCAAAGCAGCGGGTAACACTGCATAAACGACTGGCTAACCAAAGCAGCGGGTAGTGAGGTGAGTGATAGAGGAGGTGGCTATAGCAGGTTTGAAACAAGGACTCTGAGGATATTCATGATAGCTACTGACGTTCAGAATGAGATAAAAAATTAAACTGAAACCATTTTAAGTCTTATCACACCATTAAATTTTCCCTGCTGTTTTAGGAACAGAACTTTGCAGACCAGCTCTAAGAGAGACCAGGCATAGCCCCCGGGAGACACGCAAGCGGATTTGGTCTTGCAGTTTCCCTGTCTTACATTTTATGAGGCACTGAATATATCACCTTACAGTAATATTCTAATAAAATTGGAAAAAAAAACACAAAAAAAAAAAGTCGCAGGCCAGTCTTACCCTATTCCAGGCTCCAGGTACGTAGGAGGATACATTGGTGTTGGACTGCAAGAAGAAAAGCTGAGAGTTAGCACCACTGGAGGGGCTAAGCGCTTGGACCTTCCCCTGGGTGAATCTCACAAGCGCGGGTCACGCCTACGACGTCCCAATGAGCTCCGGTGCAGTGGCTTCGGCCTGCCATCGCGCATCCCCGGGCCAGCTTCCCAGTGCCTTATCGCTCGGGTACAGCGAGGAAGGCTACTTCACAGCACTTCCAGGTCCCGCCAACGGCTCAATCAATCATCCTTAAGAGCCCAGGATACACCACCCCCCTCCTGTTTTATCTCGACAGCAAAGCAACGGCTTAACCGATGGTGCTGACTCAGCGAGGCCCCGGCTGAATTATGGTGGATGGGGCGGGGGCCAGCCCACAGGTTCTCTCCTTGTGGGCGAGCTGAATCGAGCGTAGTGATTCTGCGGTGGGGTGGGGGGCAGCAAGCGAGGCGCGCACTGGATTTATATCCTGTGGGTCACTATGCTCCACTTACAGCCACCCTAAGAAGACCAGCTGTGTTTTCATACGCGCCATGTGCAAGTGAAGCTGCCTCTGCGCTACTCATGCCTGCCTCTGCGCTACTCATGCCTGCCTCTGCGCTACTCATGCCTGCCTCTGCGCTACTCATGCCTGCCTCTGCGCTACTCTTCCGTCTTCCTGGACCTCCTGCTACTGGTGGCTTATGCCCACAAAAAAAAAATTAAAAAATCGATCAATAATGATAGAAGATCAGTCCTCCATCTCCTGGCAGACCAAACATCTCGTATGAGGGCCCACTTGCCAAGACCCCGGCATTTGTACACTTACACCAGCACACAAAATTTATGAACCACGATATGAATTTTTAACAAGACAGAGGATCTTTATGTCTAAAGTAAAATGGACGGATACTGGGGGGTCAAAGCACCTTTTTCAGCGGCGAAGGTCATGATCTGCATGACACTACATGACTAACAATGCCAGTTAAAAACTTGCAGCAGCATTTACATAATATATATATATATATATATATATATAAATAAATAATACTGCAGGTCCCTCTACATTAATATCTGGACTATTCTCTGTTCTGCTTTATAAATCAGGACTTTGTTATTTTGGACTTCCTCTACCGGCCCCTGGAGGATGGGCCCCCCCTTTGGGTTTTTCCTTGCCACTATCACCTCTGGCTTGCTCTCTGGGGACAAATGAGCAGGGAACTCGTCAAGCTCTTGGAGACAATGTAATGTTGAGAAAACGTGCTATAGAAATCAACTGAAATTGAAATGTAATGCAAGCTCTTTAACACAACCTCAGTTTGAGTGTGAAAGACACAAGGGACAAATGCGTGTAGCACAAACACAGACCCGCCTCCCATGTGACACTGTAGACAGAGCCTCGCCCAGTGCCTGCTCTCCCTGCTTCTCCACTAAAGGCTCTGAGCGATGGATCAGGTTTAAAATCTCCATGAAGCATCCTAGTGAAGCCAGTAAACCCCCCCCCACCCCCACCCCATGCCAGCAGTAAGCAGACAGCCACTTACCCCACGTCTCTGTCCAGCATGGTGCCTGGGTGGAAGGGGGGGAAGGCACTACCGTTCGGGGGCTCCTTTGGGGAGTACAGCTTGAAAGACTTAGAGGAACAGCCTGCGGGGACAGAGGAAAGGGGGGGGGAGTGACGTCAGGCAGGGGCACGCAGACGACGGCCTTTAACAGCGACGCTCATTCAGAGAGCAAACCGGAACAAAGTCGCTTGTGGGACCCGTGTCACTGCCAGTGACATACTAGTGCACACTTCTGCTTTAAGCAGTGCGTTACTGACTATAACCATTAACCAGTGCCCAACCTGTGCAGCGGGCCAATGCTGTTGTATATAAAAGGAGCATGTTACAGACGAGGGCAGCAGCGTATGCAGCCTTCATTTACATCGCTCTGCAAAAAGTCATTTAGTAGCTATATAATATGCAACTATGTCTATTTAAAAGCATTTTATAGCTGCTGTTCAAGGCAAAGCCAGGCAGGCATTCAAAAGGCAGACAAAACGAAGGGTATTCTGTCTGCAGCCGTTTCGGGCCCACAGGACATTTTGCGTCTTTATGTCTAACGGCCCACCCCCTCACCCCCCCCGCAGATCATAAGCACGGAGGCAGCCATAAAAACAAGCCAGTGAGTCGCTCGTCTCTCAGACAGATAAACAGGGGCCCAACCCCCCACCGCATCACCAGGCAGCGTGTGTCACATTTAGCTGTCAACCGCTTCGGCTGGCTGGGGGTGGGGTGGGGGTCATCAGCACCTAGCACAAGGGGGCAGAGGCCTCCCCCAGTCTTGTTCCGGCCCACTGCGCCTCACAGGGGTCCGAGCCAATTTAAAGACCCGGTGGCGTCCCCTCCATACGACTGCCGACGCCGTTCCTGGGAGTCTGCGGGTGAAGGCGGCACGCTAGCCCCACCCGGCACCCAATTAAACAGGTCGCTCATGAAAAGGCATCAAGTCAAGCCGGGGTCGTGAACCCCCGACAGCGTGAATGGCTCCATCTAATTACGACGATCAGCGCATTTCAAAGACCGCGATTGATTGATGTAGACACAGGACCAAACAGGCTCTGTGGCGCGTGATTCATAAGGTGACTGACACAAGTAGCATGACAAACACAAATAAATTAGCTACCCGATTGTGGACGGTACGGACCGTTATACCAATTAAGCAAACTGGGTCATGCAAGCCGAAGTCATTATGGACCTTTCCTAACACTCAAGGTTTGACTCAATAACATTACTTAGATTAACGATGCCAGACTGACATAATAAGCGTGACTATTATGAAACGGGTGACATCTGTATCGCAGGCTAGCCCATAATGGGCACGACACATGTTACAGGTTAGTTCACTTATGAACATCGCTCTAGATGGCCAAGCACTCCAGGCCCTGTTACAGAACAATGCCGACTGTGTCAGCAAAGCCCAAAACAATTTGGTCCAACTGCACAATCAATACAGCCATTTGCAATAATAATGGCCCAGAGGCAAGAGAAATTTCTCTGTGCTGACTTTGGACTGATGCTCTGCCTATACCCAACCTCCATGTTTTCAGCAGATGATTATTCTTAATCCTGAAGGATAAATTTCATTCTCCATTGACAAATAGTCCATGTGGGAACATATTACAGTTAGATATTTCATATTACAAAGAAAAATATCAACCTGCTGTGTGAGAAAACATAAGGCATTCATAGTATCAAAGTAGATTATCCCCGATTCAGTGAATGACATCAATAAGCTGGATGTCAGCGATTCCCCACGTCCAAGGCTATGTGTAACACAATTCAGCTAAGCAGCTAGCCAGTGTATAGAGCATTTCTACTGCTGCATTACAGTCACCTGTGAGCGCAAGTACAGATAACAAAAAAATCATCATATTATCCGTTAGTCCTCATACCTAGACGGAATCTAAACAAATATTTACATTTCCAGATGTAATATGACACAGATTTCCGCACCTCATCTCCGACTGTACGAATCAGAGCTGCAAGTTGTCAGTTTAAACACAAATCCCAGCAAGAACGTCACCACCCATTTACTCCGATTTGTCAGCATTGCCAGTCCCATCAGTAATTATGCACCCTGCCTACTCGTTTAGCTCCAAACAACATCAGAGGAGCTTAAATCCATCCTTTTTTCTATCCAACAGGAAAATCATGCAGCTGCAAAGTTTCTGGATAAGGAAATCATCCGCAAAATTCATAACTTTCTAATACATTTTTTTTTAAATACAAGCACTTAAAGTATAATGTATTATAAGATATTAAGATTATTTATTTTTTTAACTACTTTCCAAATCTAGTTCTATTAAAAGCAGTGTAGAGTTTGGGCACTGCAGACAGCCCCACCTACAGTGAAACCCTGCTGTGCCCAGTAGCAGATCAGGGTGCAGGAAACCTGGACGGTGCTTTGGTGAACTTCCCACGTGGGAAAAGCAAGATAGCCAGCCCCATCCCCACGGCAACACAGCCGCCCCCCCCCCACTCATTACGTATCTGTTTTCCCTTTAGAAGGAGGCCTCGAGGAAAAACACCAAGCAGAAGCTGTCACAACAAAGACAGAAAACCAACAGTCATCTACAGCGAAAACCAGAGAGGGAATGTGAGCTGCCCACAAGAGCACATCTAATGGCTCGGGGTTTGATGCTGGACATTAGCCTGAGTCAGAGAGAAGAGCTACAATTCTACTAACCACTTTATGCATGCATACGATCCCCTTACCAGACACTCATCCACGACGACTCACAATATCGCCGCTGCAAAGACAACAAAGCACAAAACGCCAACACACGAGAGTCGTGCAAACAGTGTGTGTTTTTCAAACTGGGCCGCTAGCGTACATGTGAACATCCCTGCACACGGAATCGATCGCCCATTTCAAATTGCCCACTAACTGCGGATCGATCGTGAGTCTGCAACCGCCGCAACTCGGAACGATCCTCACAACATCGTCGTTAGTTTGTCACTGGAAAAAAAAAAAAGGAGGGGAGTGAACGCAGCAGGAATATCTCGCCGGACTGGAGCTGCTGGTACCCAAAGCAACTTTCACAGCTCTGTTTTTGCGATGCATATGCACCTTTTAAGTGCCCATTATGCTTTTGGCAAAAGAATTTCAGCTAAGGCATGATCTGGGGCTCGGCCACAAACTCGGACCTGCAGCCTCCCAGCTATACGTGAATGACACAGACATGGAATGTGGCGTGACCAGAACTTGGTAACTCAGTCACCAGTTCAGCTGGTCAAGTACATGATGAAATCAAACAACAGGAATTATGAGTGAGAGAACCAAACCCAGCAGAAGACATGAACTTAAAGTCCACGATGGTGTCACAAACACTAAAGAATTTAGATTTCTCCAAAGCCAATTGAGTTTCTTTTTCTCAGCTCTACATGTGCTGTTGTTAGAAGTTTGGGTGTTGGTTGTACGATCACCTTCAGTGTATTGAGCATGACGATCTTCAGCACCTCAGCTGCTCATGCAAAATGAAAGCTGCACATTCATTTTGATCCTACAATGGTGTGCTAGAATCAGTAAAAATACCATTCCACAATCATTCAACATGGCTATAAGGGCACTGTTACTGACAAGTGTGGTTCTTGCTGGTTTCTCTGTAGGACTTACCAAAGGGTTCATTACAACCCTTCTCCATTTTCACGAGAGCTAAACATCCAACTCACACACTGACAGGAGCTTCCTGAGTCAAATGCATCAACAGGAACAGCCTCCCAACGTGAGGTAGACACAGACCATTATTTCACTCAGGTCACCGGAGAGGTAAACACTGAGCTCCAGCCGTTTGAGAAACAACTGTGTGATAAGCTGTCGTTTCAGCAGTTTCAGCATCCTTAGCTGAAAAGCAGATCATTTGATATTTTCCCCAGAAATCACCCATTTAGGGCAGCACACAAGGAATACATCGACAAATTTAAGTCCGATGGGGCGCACCGATGTAGCCCTGAACGTCTTCCTTGCATATTTCCATTGAAACACCCACCTGCACAATGGCAAAATGATTGCCTGGGACAAGTCTGCTGAGTAGGTAAATGTAGTACCGGATGAATCTGGGAGCACCTGTTGGCTCATTAACAAAGAGTGGAGTTTACAAACAGACACACAGGAAATGAGGTTTGCCCATTGGGAGACGGAGCTCATTAAACATTCATGGTGAAGACTTCTGCCATTAAAAATTCACTGTTCAGAAAAGGCTGATGCAAGAAATTTGGTCTGAAGCTAAATACAGCCTCATCGCCAGCAGTCCGTACGGCTCCCCAAACAAACGGAAATGTTACTGTCCGGAGCATTTCTGTCCTGAGCATCAAGCATATACTCTTAACAACAGTACCAACCACTGCCAAGATTAAATTTAATCAGGCGACAAACTCCGCTTCCTGCTGTAATTTCTGGCTTGCTAGTTCACTGACTGCACTGATGGGGCAGTTTCCTGTTTCTCGGGGTTCAGTGTTTGTCAAGCTGCTCGCGCCACTGCTCATATCATGTGGCAAACAGCACAAGCCCTGCCACATTTATGAGTGTGCAAGAATTATTCAAGGGAGTCACCTGCGCGGGGTCACTCTCAGAGAGGCCACTGTAGGTAGTTTGTGTCTTTTTAAGTCAACCGCTTCACAGATACTTGACACACTGACATCATCAGTAGAATCACAGCTATACTGTGCACAGGGCGTGGACATCTCATACAGCCGCAAACCTACACACAACTCATCAATGCAAGATTGTAACATCACCCAGACGACATGATCAGACGGGAGAGAAACATACCCTGCTTAAAGCACCCAGCTGCCCCCCTGCCTAACAAACGTACCCTTACAGCTAGTAAATTACTGGCTACAGTTTAAGGTAAATAAATGCACCAATCTACTCTACTAAATCTCTGGTATTTCAAAATGCTTTTAAAGCTGTCCCCAACACATCACTTTAAGTGGCATTTTTAAAATACAGGGCAAACAGTCCGTAACCTGTTGTGTCCAAATTATTATTATTGTTGTGTGTCTTTTTTGGGGGGGGGGGGTGTTCATTCTCTAACAACCAGGGCAACGTGCGCATACTCGAAAACCGACCGGGCACTTCCTTCGACTGCACATTTACTTTACATTTCAGTTTTTCTTTCAATTAACCACTGCATTTTCTAATTAACCAACGCAGAAGCAATGAAGGGGTTCGTTATTATTAAGGACAACAGAAGCTAACGCAGAAATCACCGACCCACACTGAAGACCCAAGATGAAATTCATAAAACGTCAGTAACATTTGACATTTAATGAATATGGACAAAATATATGCAGCTATATGTGAAAGAAACGAAGACATTATTGTTTGAGGCGACGTGTACCTGAATGCATACATTTACTATACATACACATCTGTGCGTGTGTGTGAGATATATATATATATATAATAACTGATTTTTACTCTATCTTTAAACATCTTCTTACCAAGACGATATCCTATTAAGCACGATGCGGCCGCGGTACATAAGCTAGACACTAACTTGTTCATACCCTAACTTACTCGCAGCGCGGGGGTAACCCTACCAGCCGAGCTTTGCGGGGGTGTCCCCGGCGTCTCCTCACTACAGCCCCGGAGATAATTAGGATGAAGTTACATCCAGCAGCCTAGCACCAGGTCCGAAGGACGGACCTCGGCGTTTATCTCCACATATCTCTACACACATTTATAAGCAAGAACTGGATACATATTAGCAAAGAGGGATGTAATTTGTAATTCTGCTTAATAAAAGAGCGACATCCAGGACGGCACTAGTACTAGTAGAAGCTGTGCGGCGCTCCTGACTTTAAACACCGCAGCATTCAGCGACCAAGCTCCGCCACCCACATGATAATCACCGCCGTCCCCGGCTGACAGACCTCCGCTCCAGTAGCCAGACGCCGCCGGTCGGCCGGCTGACCAGGCCCCAGAACAGACCACCAATCGCGGTTCGGCCAGCCGGCTCGGACCGCTCGGCTTGCGGCCACAAGATAAGCGCGGGCGGTAAGCGCAGCCCGAACCGGCGGCGGCGGATTTGGCCCTGCAGGCGTAACTGTACCTGGGGAAGAAGTGCTGACAGAACCGGCGCTTACGGATCCCGCAAATCGCTGCTGCCCGGCGTGTGCGCTCAGTACGGCGGCAGGAGTGCCTTAAATCCCCTTCTTTAAATAAAAAATAATAATTGTAAAAGATTAAAGTAGCATTGGCGCTTAAAAAGAAAGCGGGCGTTTAGCGCTCCGTAATATTTTTCTTTCATACGCGGCCTTGTCCGGTGCCGAAAGCCTGTAGTAGACAAGGGTACGCTCCCCGAAGAGCCCTTTGTTCGTGGACAGACATGAACAATAGCTGTGGGCCCTCCTCTTTCTCCGTCGATGCGTCCCCCCCACCGGTCCCCCTCCGCTCTGGAAAACGGCGCTAAGCCTCTCGGACTCCTCTCAGAGAGTGAGGCCCGGGAGCCCGGCAGCGCCGCCAGCCGCCCTTCTCTCACCCTCCCTCCGCTGCAGCGGCCGCTTTACAACGCGAGCGACTGCGGCGCGGCGTCGCGAACCCCCCCGCGGCCCCCCCATCGGCTGTGTGCGCACGCTGCCTCGCGCCGCACGAGCCGGAGTAGCCGCTCCTCACGCTATGTCCACCGCGCATTCAGACCAAGTGGTGACATTAAACTACGAGCTTTAATAAATACGATGCCTCGTTCATCACTGGGTTTATTGTACATAAAATCTTCAAAACAAACCAAATGGACTTTTCAGTATGGCCCTTGTAGTCACAGTATCAAGGCAACTTTCCCACGGATAAGATCATGGCGAGATTTTAGCCGCTGTTTCTGCTGGTACAATTATACATTCTTCACGGGATTATTGAAAAGTTGGCTTTAGATAAAACTGCTTCGAATATGTTCAGTTAATAATTCGGGACGAGCTGTTAACGGCTAATCTACAGCTCGTGTTCTCAACATGTCAACAAACGGCCCCGCTGTTTGTCGGAATCTTCCATTACTATACTAATCACACATATTAGGTTTGCCCACAATTTAGCTAACTAATGTGTAAATTGTTTATTATGAATAACTAAGCGGCCCAAATGTGTAAATTCAACCAGACAATGAAATGTGTAACGAAGGTCCCCTCATTTCAAAATACTCCTAAAAAACACTGGTGTGGTCTACAATAGGTATTACGGTACGAGTGGCACTCCGTCTCCTCCCCCGGGTCCCACGCCCGTTTCCCAGGAGAATGCCGCTGTTCCTTCTAACTGGCGAACCCCTTCGCTGCGGGCGCAGTTAAAGCTCACTGCTATCATTCAGCTCCCAGCCGCTGAACTTGTGCAGTAAATCTGGATGGCGCAACACCTGAATTCGGACAGTTTCAATCGGTTTGTGGACGGCATTTTGCGGCCAAAAGTAAACAGCTGTAGTGAATCTCAAAAACCTGTAATTTCAAAAAAACAGTGGTAAAATAAAAATGTGATGTCTGTTAGTCTTTTGGGAATAACGACTTAATTTCGAGATGTAGGTAGCAATTGTTGCAGAATAATACTGTACAAAAGTTTAGCTGTACCCTGCGTCCACTGTCCCATGTATCCATGGCAACAGTCAATAGTGCAACCTGAGCAGTGATTAATGTCACCCATTTAACTGTGCATGGACGATAATCCCCTGAATGCCTGGGTCCACAACAACGGAAGTCAAGGGTTTGGGCTGTCCAAATGATATCTGTCAAACTGGTTTCAAATTCTTACGGGCACTCAGTGTTCACAAGCGCTCACATTCAGCCATGTTACTCACAATCACTCAGATGAATCAACTAGCACAGAAATCAGCCATACCAGTTTGCCAATATATGCAGTAATGATACTATCAGTATTGAATACAGCCACACTGAATTTACTGCCTTTATTGAGCCATGATATATATTTTAAAATTGGTTTAACAATGGAAATATTGGGTGAGCATATTCAATATATCCCGAGTAAAAGTTTAATTCTCACCTTTCTCGGACCTCTTGACATTAAACTCTTTGAGATGCTCGGCGGTGTGTTTATTTCAACTAGAACTCTCAAGAGAAGAGAAGATCTAAAACCATAATAGTACATTCCTATATTTAATTATGAAGTATTACTTAAGCACTAGCTTAATACTTTATAGCCTTTGAACAGGTGATTTATTATAACCTGTCACAATAATAATAATAGTTATGATGATGATGATTATTATTATTATGATTAAGGTGGTAAGTCGATAACTAATTAGTAAAGTTCTTTACGGTACACAAATGGAGTTTGGGTGGTGTTTGGTCATCTCTGGTGCTGGTGGGCCACAATCTTTGAAGGTTTCCAGTCTACACAAACAGTAAAGCTCTTGGTTGAACAAGTTACTGCACTAATTCAACCAGTTTAGCTCTCAGTATCATTTTTATGGGATCAAACAACTGGAAAATTCAGTTATAATTCAGTCAAACAGGTTCAGGACAAGTTGAGAACTAAAATATTTTGCCGAATGTGCCTTTAAGTCTGTGCTTTGTAATTGGAGGATCGTTAGTGAGAGACTTTCTGATTGGTTGGTTGAGCAAATCACTTGGGGGCCGTCAGACTAGCATTGTGTTTTAAAGTCAAATAGTGTGACTATTTGATGCCTTGAAGAGCTCCGAGACCTATAAGAACGTTGCACCTCTTTAAAAATATTCAGTAGAAATACTTCGAGTGCGAAGCCGTTCTGTGTTGGCGGCTCTTTTTGTCTGCCTTTGTGTCATATAAAATGAATGGCTTCGGATGAAAAACAAAAGCCAGAGATGACAGGCAGCAGAAGTCAAACTCACAGCCATTTGCCATCAGAATTGTCAGAACCCCAGCAGAACAGACTATTCCTGAAGTTTTAGATCTGCCTACTTTCAGCTGAGGAGGTTTTTCCATAAAATGCGCATGGCATCTCCCTGCCTTTATCCCTGCCTTTTGGCAGGCGGACTGCTCTTTAATCACAACTGCATGAGTCGCTGCCATGTCACAGCAGTGGTAACAGAACGAAGCTGGTGGGATGTTCTGATGAGGGAAACGAAGCTTCAAAACCCACTGCGGGTGTAATTTGTCACGTGCTGCCGATTGCTGTCTGGATTAACCATAAGAGAGCCAAAGAAGTATCCAATGAGGAGAGGACTGAGCTCGTCAGTGACTGACGGCTGGTGATAATCCTGCTCTCGAGGACCTGGCTCTCTCATCAGCACCTGCAGGTGCTCTGTGGCCGTCCTCATGTCACCTTTGCACCGGCCACAAATAGGAAATGTCTGGAGAGCTCATAACGCAACAATAAGCACCCAAATCAAGTCAAGTATGAAAACTTCTCATGTGTAAATATATGTGTTTTTGACGCTAATTTTTATAAAGCTAAGGGTCACTGAAGTAATCTAGGTGAAATACTCTTGTGGGTCCAACAGCAGGGTTCTCCTGACTTCGGACTTGAACCCATAACTCTTAGGTTAGACGTCTATCCTCTTAACCATCACACTGCTTGCTGGTCATGCTGTCTCTGTTTGATCTCTTGCATGCTTTTCTCTCCTTCGTTTGGCCTGTTCGTTCTGTTTAAAAAAATCAAAAGTGGGGGGAGGGGCGCATGCAGCGATGAAAGTTTTTGTTTTGCAGATGAAGGGACATAGAGGACGAAAGTCCCCCTCCCCCCCCCCAGGACACCGGGCTTGGCTGCCTCGCTTTCTTGCCTCCGCCAACAACAGCTGCGCTAGAAGAGTTCTCCACCTGTAAAGGGCGCGCCCTCATCGCCCTACATCCTCATTAGATTAACGGCCTCCTTGCAGTATTTGTTCCAAAGACATTTTCACACATGGTGCCGACGTACCAGATGTTCGTGCGGCTGGGAGCGGGAAGCTCTGCCAACAGCAACGACAAAAAGGCGGCTAGAGGAAACGGCTTCCCGACCCTTTGCATGCAGCGCGGGCGCCTCATACGTGGAAAGTGAAAAGTGGAAAGTTTATGTCACTTTTCTCACGTCGGATTGGGGTTCAGCCTTCAGAAAGTGATGGCGTCACTCCCCTTTGAAGCCGTAGGCTCAGTCTGTCACAGTGGCGTAACCTCTGATGCCGGAAACCGGCAGCGACCCATCGGTCGAGCTGCGTCCGTGCGCCTCTGGCAAAACCCTCCTGCGCCCGGGGAACACCCAGGCTGCCTGGTCGCTTCACATCCCAGCTCACTTTGAAGATCCGTCGCTTTCAAGGAGCCTCGGGAGACACAAAAGACTAATTGCGTGGCTCATTAGGGAGACATCGGGATGGATTTCGCTCGGAGGGCGAGATGTCAGAGCTGATCGTGTCGCCGCGTGAGCCGCCTGTGCCCACTTACATTTTCAGATGTCACGTACGCCTCCACATCGTCACAACAGGGAAAATGGTTCCCACGTGGTAACGCTATTTAAAAAAAAAAAAGCTGGATTGCTATTTCGCTGCTAATTAGCTTTCACCATCCGGCTTTCCTTCACACTGTAAGAAGTGAACCTCCTTTGCTTACAGTTAAATGTCAGGATTATGAAACACTGGAGAACAGGATGGGGGATGGTGACTGTTTCCACAGAGGTAGCCCCTGAGCGCAACATTAAGGATGGTCAAGCTACATAACCTCAACACAACAGTACACAGGACTGATGATAAACTACATATGCAATCTGAACACCATCAGTACACAACACCAAGGGTTAGTTATATAACCAACCTCGACACAACTGTACACAGCACAGAATGTTGGGGACATACCCAACCTCAACACAATACGTTGAAGGGTAGCCACACACACAACCCCAGCACCACAGAACATGGTATTAAGGGTGAATCATCTGTACAAGAAACAGCAACATAAAAATATACACCTGTATGACCGTGTAAAACTTAGTATGATTATAGTATATTTGCACTTTATAAACCAGACAACAGCAACATATATCCAGAGACACCAAAATAAACTGAGTTTATACCTAACTCTGGGATTGGCAACAAACTATTTATTGTCATGCAAAAAACAAAGAAAACAAATAAATGCATTTAAATGGACGCATGGATCGCATTTTAAAGCAGGTCATTCTAGCTTGGATGTTTCATCATCCCTGCAGCTTGATGCTCACATCCTGCCTGATGTCCCGCCTGCTGCAGAGCAATGCCGTTGACCTTTCAGAACATGCTTCATAGTTTCCTGCGACAAAAAGCAGGCCGGCAGAAATGCAGCATATGCCACGCTAACAGGCACAGAAATTTAGCAAAATATGCGCAGGCAGTTGCCGTTACACATCCTGGCTTATCTCGGTCTTAACAAAGCGCGTGTTTGCTGATATCGGGGGCCACCACACAGCCAGCCAGTCAACGACCTCGCGAGTAAACAAACGAACATCTCTCGGTCGCATTTCTGTTGCCGTGGCGTGTAACACGCCGGCTGACATGTCGGTGGGTGGCCTTCGGCGTTCTCTGCCCTGCCAGAACAGATGGGTCATGCACAGCT